CATGTCAGTCTAATCGTGTTGGACATAATACAACATGAAACCTTCTTTTTCTGCAGCATTAGATAACATAACATTTCAAGTCCCGTTTCCTTCAGTTCATAACAAAAAATCTCGCACTCTGACCTAGAAAAACGAATTCATGGACTCAACTACTGTAACTTCCTTCTCGCTGTGATCACTGACGTCGCTCTTTTGCCTCCTTCTGCTTCAAAACGCAGCAGCTCGGGTTTTTAGTGGACTTAATAGACGACGTCACATCAACCCAACCCTGGGTTAGCTCTGCTGTATCCCTCTTTGGTTTAGAATTTATTTTTAAGATTTTACTGATGACTTTTAAAGCACAAACTATACAAAAGAAATATTGACCCAGTATGAGCCAGCAGCCTTAGATCCTCAGGTTGAAGATCCTTTAGTGTAAAGGTGACCGTGCTTTTTCAATCAGGACCCCTCGGCTTTGGCATGACTGGATTGAGAAGATGAGGCTTGTAGATTCAGTTACTTCCATAAAATCATTTCCTGAAAACAGATTTTTACAGATATGACTTCACTTGAAGTTACATTTTTTAAATATTTGTATTGTTTTCATTTGTGAAAAGTTGTCTTCTTTTTATAGTTCTTATCCTTTTTCTTTGTTAATAGCCCTCATATGTGTTGCTGTCTTCTTACTGCTTTTATTCTGATTGTTTATGTCAGTGAGAATGTTTGTATCCTGTGTGTGCTTCGTCCTGTTTTTAAAGGTGCTGCATGAATAAAGCAATCATCATCATCATCTTCATCGTTATTAGAAATGATGGCTCAGTTCCATTTGAATGACTGAATGTTAAAATCTGTACGGCTGAATTTCATTGCGCTGCTTGTGTTTTGTGGTCATAGCTCACTTGGTCACTGGAGTAGATTGTGATTTTTAATAAAATGCAACAAGTCTAAATGTGTGAAGAGGGACAGGAAGTGGACACCTACACGTAAAAGACATATAGCATCATTCATACTTTCCCTGTATAGTGTAAAGAAGACGGTTCTTCTTCTCAGGTGTGGTCTACGAGCACATATGTGATGCAACAGCGCCCCCTAGCGCAAATTTATCAAACCGCAGTGTTGAAAAACGGCGGAATATGAAACGATCAAGTGCAACATTGATTTTACTTTGAAGCAGAGTCACGACAGTTGTGTTAGAACAACCCTAAAGAGAAGTTAACTCCTCTCTGCGGACAAAGGGGACGTTCACATGAGGTCTGCACACGAGACGAGTAAATGACTGAGCTTGCTATTAGCAGCTGTTAGCTCCCGATGCTAACTTATGTACTGAAGTTGTCCAGGGGGCAAACACACCCCTTCACCTCGCTGTGTCTTACTGTGAGACGTGTCCCGGTATGTCCTCTGGATGTCCCGGAACAGTTGTTCAGCCACCGCAGGAAGAAGTGGAGACATCTCTCAGGACCTTTAGCACGAGCAAAACCAAAACATGACAACTTCCGCCTTCAACTTTCCTTTCCCCTCCAAAATAAAAGCCCTACTAGAACTCTAATAACCAGCAGTATGTTTCTAGTCTTGTAGTGATGAGGTGATGATTGTATTGCTCCTGATACCAAAGAGACACTTTTTGGAGAAAACAGTGGACAAAGCATCTTTAACATATGTTCAACACGTACACTGTATAGAAGTTGTTAATAATAATAATAATCATCATCATCATCATCTCACAATTTCTAACCCTTGCCCTTTAATGTTTTTCATAAGGATTTTGAAATCCCAATTCTTTTCTAATTTAGCTTTGCTTAATAAAAAAAAAAGTGCCAAGACCTATGACTCCTTGGCCTGTCTGACTCTCCCCATGAGTATTTTTTATTGATAAATCAAAATTAAAATCTAAATAGTTGTTAGGACACATGGAATCAGCAGCAAAAGGCCAGCAGCAACATATCATGGCAGCAAAAACGTTACTAAAAAACACGGATGGCTCCATTCCAGGATTCAGGTACTAAGCACTGAATCACTGACATGGAGGCATTTTTACGTTTTTAATGACTTCCGCCATGTTCCTACGATGAGACAAGGTGTGTCTGCTGTGAGAAAGGCCTATTGCCTTTAATTAGCTGGTACAATGGCAGTCACTGACTTGTGACATACCATCATTAATAAGTGTCCTAACAGGATATTATGAGCTTACCATCAAATTCACTGCAGCAAGCTTCTTCAATCCATCACCAAGAGCTTAATAAATTAAAAATCTGTCAATTAAATAGTACATCCATCTAATTTTATATACTGCTTTTTTAACCTGGCTGCAGTAGAGTTTGGGATGCACTGCAACAGCCGTGGTCAATAAGATAAGAACCTACACGTTTTTCAGTGGTGGAGAACTGATCCACTTTATTTGATTGGTCTGAACTCTTGTAATAGCCTACTAAGAGACATTGTGCGATACAAACATTGCATTTCAACATCATAGGATACACGGGTTTTTCAAGTCTTAATTTCCAAAAGACAAAAAAGTCACCACTGTGTGTTTGATAGAGAGCTGAAAAGATGCTCCAATTCTTTTTCGGCTTCATGTCGGATTTTCTTTAAGATTCAAGTTTGTAAACTCTTTTTTTTCATTGCCTTTGTAAACACATAGCATCCCGTCTAGACAGGATGAATAACAAAGATGTTGAAAATTACAGGAAATAAAAATCTGAACATGTGCAAAGACAAATGATTCAGAGTAAAAGGAAGAAACAAAATATCAAGTTTAGAGCGGAACTGATTAGTTGACTGAGCAAAGTGAGAGTAGAAAAAGCCAAAAATATGGTATTTCTTTCACATATCTAAGATAAAAAGACTTGCAAAGGAACGTTACTGCCATTTATGATGTTGACCAAGTATAATTAATATTCTAAGCTTTAAGCCTGTTGATTGACACAATGAAAGCAGAGATTAAGTGATCATGGTTTTGAATTACCATGACAGCAAACTCCTAAACATTTAACAGTACCATACACTTAATAAAACTGTAACTGTGATGCAAGTGTCACACTATAAACTCATGTACCAGCTACAAGAAAAGACAGGAAGTCAAAACATCCAGATTTCTGTGAGTTGTGGGAAAAAAACCTTAAAGCACATCTTAGTATACTCCTGTGCTGGAGGATGAATAAGTTACACAGCAGGTAGTATGCTCTTTGTTGTCAAAAGCTACAAAGCAAAAAAGTGCAACAATGGTGCAGACCATTCTTTATGTTTGGTTAGTTTTTGTCTTTTTGTGTAACGGAAAGACAATTTACAGAGTTCAGATTTTTGTCAGGATAGTATAAAAAAAAAAGGGACTACAGAAACAAATACAAACATCAAACACCAACGTATATCTCTGAGAAAATTACTTAAAGCTGCCTTCTTTCTCAAGTCACACGGCATGGCAAAACTGTCCAAAGAAAAAAAGGTTCCTGACAAACTTAACTGTTTTTTACCATGACAACATTGCAGAGCAGATCATTCTGGACAGGCTGGAAACTGCAGAGAGAGACAGCAACATGTGTCACACCATGGTCAACTCTATTGGAAAAAAAAATACTCATTGGCTCACTTTCGTTATTCAGACTGGAACCAGGAGTAGTCATGACGATATACTTTTTCTGGCTAAATGAAGCTTATATCAGACCTTTCACTTTTCTGCTATAACACCAGTGTTCTTAACCTTTGAAGACCTTTTTCTGTCTCTTCAGAAGTTAACATCTAACATCTGATAATTACGATCCATACATCATCTTCACTGTGTGGCGAAGACAGGCGTCAGATATTGAAGCGGTTTGAAATGTTAGTCTGTGTTTTGTCTTGTCCGTGAATATTTGCGATTTTCAGGCTCTGGTGGTGCTTGATAGATGGAGCAGGGCAGCACAATCACTGCTCCACTCATGGTCAAGTACAAAGCACAGGTCTGGTCTCTCTTAGCGTCGCTATGGTGAGAATATTAAAATAGGGGTCAGGTGACATGGGGGTGGAGATGGACTGGGAGAGACCAACTGTGATATCAAAGATTAAACCCCTACTCTTTCTGTTTAAAGTGGATCAATTTAAAAGCGACATTAAAATAAGTAATAATCAAGGTAAGAAAAACACTGCAAAAGGTTACTCTATTTACATACAATGATTTTCTTAAAGACAAAGTATATCTTACAGAAATCAAAAAAAATCCAGAAATAATCTCTTATGTTGTTTCTTTTTACATATTAACTTCTTCATCTTTACTATAGCTCAAGTCATCCCCTCAGTCTAGTCTTGTTTACTTTCCAGACAGGCTGGGTGAGTGCTTCCGGACCAAAAGCCAGTCTCGTTCTGGAGAACCCTGCCTGTCACAGGCTGCTGCTCGTACTCTCAGCAAACAGCCAGAGGGCGCCATAGCACCAAAATTAAAAAAATAACACCACTCCATCAACATGTCACACTTGCCAGCGAGCAAGGTTAGTTCTGGGAGAGGGGGTGAACAGACAAGCCTCAGTGCAGGTGTCTCTTGTGGTTATTGGAGCTGCTGCAAGCAGGGCTCAGTCGTCACTGTCAGACAAGGTCTCATATTGCTCTGAGAGCAGAGACTGCCAAACGCGCTGCTGGGCCACAGGGGCTCCGGTCGGAGGCGGCGGCGGCTGCTGCTGCTGCTGTTGCTGCTGCTGCTGCTGCTGCTGCTGCTGCTGGCTCTGTATGGAGGGTGAGGCTATGCAGGTTGGTGGCGTGTTGCTAAGAATGCGCATGGTCAGTGGGTTGTAAGGGAACTGCATGGATCCTGAGGAAGAAAAGAAGTGGAGAATATTTTAGAATGAAGATTAACTGGATTCAGGTCTTTTCTGTCTTTGATTTCAGCAGATGGAGTTTTTGCAGACACTGAGAGCAGAGGTTGGACAGCTCACCTGTGGACGAGGGTCGGTCATCCCAACTCCACTGGGGTTGGGGTTGGGCTTGTCTGTGATAATCTCCCTCTGAGTGGACGGAGGACACTGAAGAGGGACGTTCCCCTCCAGCGTAGGCCTGACCAAGATTAGGTGACTTGGATTTCCGGCTGTTGGCTTTGCCCTGCTTCTGCTTCACTGTACATTCAGATAGACAGGAAATGTGAATCAGCAACATGGAAAAGGTAGGATCTCTTCTCAACAAGTGTAATTAATAAAAGTCTGATTTGTGCGTACCCATACTGGGTGATGGGTTTGCCTCCTGGCGGGCATCACTGCCTGTGCTGGGTATGTTGTTGATAGGACACTGAGCCACTGCACCTCCCTGTTGCTCCTCCTGTCTTTCCTCTAAGTTACCCATCAACGCCTTGCGGATTATGTCCTCCAGGCCCAGGTTACTCGCTGGATCACTGAAGGAGTGATTCCTTGGGTTGATGCTCCCTAAAAACCAACACAACAAATCAGTGAGGAAGGAATAATCACCACAATGGAAGTGTCAGAGACAATTTCACTGCTACTTACCGGAGCTGGTAACAGCAGGCAAGTTAAAAATCTCTGTGCCTGGTTGCGCATTTCCTACAAGACAATTGTTGAAAAACTGAATTTCTGACCAGATATGATACATTTATCACAATATCTAATGAGTTTAAAACATCTTTTAAAAGCATTGTGATGAAACATTCGAGGAGTTTGTTTCATCATCTGGTGCATGCATGTTAGTTTGAAGGAAGATGATAAGAGAGGACCCACTTACCAACATCAGAATCACCGACACCAGAGGAGTTCAACATACGAAAGATCTCCTGCTTCCTGGATCTCATCATTTGCGAGGTGTTCTCCAGCTTAGTGAAGAAGGAAGGATGATAGCTTACACTGCCCGGGGACCTTGAGTCATTCCTTGAACCAGACAGAGGGTAAATAGTCAGACAGCAGAACGGTAACTGGGGCAACAAGCTCTTTATGTATACAAGGTGAAAGAATAATTGCTTAGGATTATAGGCAATGTCGTGCAGGTAAAAACAAACAAATAATGTCATGGTAAACATGACTTGTATGTTTTATATAAGGACACTTCACAAGCACTAAGAAACGGCCCAAGACTCCTAAAGGTAAAGCTGTGTTAACTAAGACATGTACTAGCTTGTTGGTCTTAAAACTATCAATTGGGCAAACTATGCAGCACAAGAACCTGATCTCAGAGTTGTCAGCATCTCGCCTCTGAGGTGGAGGTGGCCCAGCAGCCTCTTGCTTGTCCATGACTTGGTAGCTCTGTGGTGGAGAAATGGGTTCGTAGTTCTCCATCAGCCTGCCTCCTCGCTCTGGAGACTTACCCGGCCTGGACAAGAAGTAAGAGTCTGATTTTAAGATACATGATGCATAATGCAAGAGACTCACACCCATTATGTCAGGGTTAATGATCTGGTCCACGTACCTGGATCTGGGCTTGTCAGGAGCATTCTCTGGTGAAACTCTACTGGAGGGTCTTTGGTGGTGTAGGGCCTGGACCTGGTTCTCAGGACTGTAGCGGCTGGGCACCTTGGGGCGACCTGAAGAGGACACAGATGGCACCACGCTCTGGAATGTTGAAGAAGCTGAGGAAGAAACCGGGGCAGGGTCCTGATTCCGGGCAAAGTCCTGGGTTATGATGTGCTGCATGACAGTGACCACAAACCAAGGTTAGGTAGGTATAACGGGATGATGTACATTGTACTTTTGATACACTGCATTACTTTTTCATTTTCTTCCATGTAGTTACCGAAATGTGGTCTGCCAAGGTCATGACTCTGTGAGTCTTATGGACCTGAGAGTAGTTATCTGCCTGGGAGGAGGGGGGCTGCTGGGAACTGGGTTGTGGCTCCACTGATGGTCGGTAACGACTCATGTCATAGGCCCGTATGCCAGCTGGTGAAGGGGAAAAGTATTTTTTATGAGACATACATAATACAGTGCATGGTAACAGTAACTGATCTACTTCTGCTTGCAGGTGTCAAGAATAACTTGAAGTCGAGTCAGGTGACTAGTCTGCTGCAGAGGAATGGTGTCAGATGGTCTCAAATGAAAAAGTTGTTAGCTTTGCTCCACTAGCAGCTAGATTTAGCCTTCACTGTGACAGAATCAGCCTCACATAAGTGACATGAAGTTAAAAACCTTTTAAAAAATAAACTGAAACACTCAGTATTTAACATCTACAAATGAATATGTTTAAACTGAGTTTGTGTTCATACCTGCTGACTGTTGTTGCCCATCTTCTGGTTTGTCCTGTTGGATCTGGACTGGGGAAGTAGCAGGACTGATCACCTCAATGGCTCCTCCACTGGTATTGTCATAACGATTAGATGACACTGTAGGATAAGTATGAGCAATGAGTCATTTTTGTTAAGCAAAGGACACAATATTAAGGTTTTATCATGTTACAGAAAGTTGTACTTGAAGAATATTATAAACTTTAAGGTTTAACTAATTTCTGTACAAGTCCTCTCGGGTAACTGACAGTATCACAGAGCACCTATGTTCACTTTTAATAAGGTTCAGTTATCTCCTAGGCAATGTGTATCCAACACACTTACAGCTGCTAGAGGAGTCAGAGCTCTGAGAGCCTCGCTCTCGTGAGTCTTTGTCAGATGCTATCTGCCGTGTGATGATGACATCAATGAAGCTAGCGGCTGTGATAGTCGTTTTTCCACGGGTCCGAAGCTCCTCTTCGATACGTGACTTTGAGGTTTGAGGTCCTTTATCCTTAGCTCCAACGCCAGGGCCCTCAGCATAAGATGGATGGGGCTTACCTCCCGGCAGAGACATAGCACCATATGGTGACTGCATGGATCGTCTTTCTGCCTCCTGTTGCTGCTGTTCGGCTGCTCGCCGAGCAGCAGCTGCTGATGACATTTCATCATCCCGATCATGTTTGTTGTCCTTCACCTTGGACACATCCATCTGTGGAGCAGAGGCTGCAGCATCCACCAATGCAGCCAGAGCATCAGCGGCAGTACTGTAGCGAGAGTTACTTTGTGCTGCTGCTGTTGCTGCTGCTGAATGAGGCCTGATGAGGAAATTAAGAAATGAAGGCATCAAAAATATTTCCTGAAGGATTAGTTAGTTAGTTGTGAGATGTATATAATGACATCATAAACTAGGGCTATCTGGAAAACACATGCAAACAGAGTGTAAGTGAGCAGATATAAACAAAGTTAAAAGTGTTTAAACTTACATTAGAGAGGTGATGACACTCTTGCCCTGGAAAATGCTCGGCCGTTGTTGAATTACTACGTCTTGTGTCCTGAGGGAGGGAGAAGGGGAGTGCAGATAACCTCGACTCCCTGGCCGGCCCGGTTGTTCTTGTCCACCTAATACACACATTCATCCAACATTAACCATGAATGACTCAATTTGTAGACTTTCACAACATCTAGTACTGTTTTATACAGCAACAAAACAACTCACTTCCACGCATGTATTCATTGGTTCGCTCCCGGTCCCGGTCCCGCTCTCGTTCCCGCTCTCGTTCTCTCATTTCCCGCTCCCGTTCCCTCTCCCTTTCACGCTGCTCCCTCTCCCTCTCCTTCTCCTGCTGCTCCCGGTCACGCTCCCTCTCCCGTTCCCTCTCTGCACTGGCGGCAGCAGTGGCCGCAATATGGGCTTGGTGACCTGAGGACAACAACGACAAACACCAGCGACATGAGATTTATACACACCCCCTTCATATGGCAGGATGGGCCAGAGCCATGCTCACATGCTTGGAATTTGTCACAGCACAACCATGGTAATATTCTGTCCCAGGAATATTACCATCTTTACCACTTGAGATGAAACGTTGACTGAAAGAGACTGCTGCTTAAGTTGTTATATGCTAAAAATAATCAGAATGACAATAAAGGTTTTTTAAGATAATCATTATCCTACTTTAGGTGAAACAAAAACAAAAAAGATCTGGAGATCTATCACATCAACTGTCATTTAGACTGAAGTCAACCATTTTTGTGCCTCCAGACTTTTTATGGCTTATACTAAATTTGAGTCTACATATAAAAGTATGGTGACGTAATACAGGTAAGAATTACAAGACATTATAGAGTTTCAGCTGCCACATCAATCCTACATGTTGTGCATCTTTTTTCTATTGAAATAATAAAACTAATTATATTTTCATGCAACACTCAAGTGTGGTGAGAAACCCTTCCCAGTATGACTGCAGTAAGACACAACTTCATCTGTGACTGGACAGGCAGAACTGACCTTGGACACCTCTTGCCTACGCAGGGCTGCACTCTTACAGAGGTGTGAGGGAACATGGAGATCGTGGCATGGTAGGTAAAGGAACACAGGGTGTAGGGGTAGGGAGGGGAGGGGTCCTCACCTGGCGATATGGAGATTGGGTTGAAAGCCCTAGGATTGAAAGGGGGCTGAGCTCCGGGGAGGTAGGCGGTGCGTTCCAAAGTGGGAGCACCTGTTCCCCCAGGGTGAGGCAACAGGATAGTTGCAGGCATCTGGGCTAGATCAATAATCCCTTTTACAGACAGAAGCAAAGGGCCAGCGGTGAACAACAAAAACCGATTCATCAATTTCTGAATGTAAGAACACCGTATACACCCATCACCTTCATCTGTTAGTGCTCCCAAATACAGATTGATCAGAAAGCAACAGGGCTGCAAAATGAGTGGAATAGTAGTCAACTTGTAGGAGGCAACTGCTAAGCAAAGGGAGATTTGGAAGACCAAATCCACTTGGTAAGTGGTTGAGTAGTAGTATCAGCCGAATCATTTGCAGCCCCAATATTAGAACAAATCGGCAAAATTTCTTTAGGTCATTTGCTTCTGGGCGTCTGGAAAAGGTAGCCACTACTTCACAAGCACACAATCTGCAGACTGCAGCTCCTCCTGCCCACAGCCTCTCCCCTGCCCCATGTGGCAGGTGAGAGAGGTTCAGCTGGTGGAAGGCCATACCTCGTGCTCCAGTTGGGTAAGGGATAGCGACAGGCTGTTCCCGCGGTGACAATCCCCGGGTCATGTCAGGCCGAGGAATGACTTGCATCTGCTGGGAAGTGATATAATCGTTGAGGATGGTCTGCCGCGTGTTCTCCATGGTGTACAGCTGGTAGGTGTTGTGGTAGTTTGTTGGTGACGGCTGCCTGGCGAACATGAATGCTGTAGCAGAGGACGGGAGAAAAACAAAACATATGAACAGAAGGCTCACAGATACTGATCGCACCTGCTGATGTCAACAGCTGAAAAAGATCCTGGGCATGTAATGCCTATGAATTTGAGGGCCTGGGTTGCTATCATCAATTTATGCAGAATCAAGGCTATTATCATTCTGTTTAGAGTTGTGGTGGAAAGAGTGCAAAGGGTTTAATCACAGTACCTGGATCCATCACTCTGTGGAAGGCCAGGGTTGGGTCAAGATGTGGAGGCAGGTGGGGTCGGTAAACTTCCCCAGGAACAACGGGCCGGTGGTGGGGGTCGAAGGGGCTGTGAGTGGCTACAGGGTCACCACTCGACACAGGGGACTTTGCTGGGACATTGTCCCTCTGTGTTGGGGTCATGGCACTCTTTCTTTCATGTGCAGCAGATTTCACAGAGCTCATTCCACCTTTGGTGAAAAGAGGAACCCACAGGACTCATTCAATTAGTTTAACAGGAACAGAAGAACACCATCACATAACAGTACATGTGTGGCAGAAATCCAAATTCAGGAATTAATGTCCACCCAATGACCTCGGCAGTGAGTGCATATTACGTATTACTACTAATATGCTTATTCTGGCAAACAAGAAGACCTGGCTTAGCAAGATAACTAATGGAATTGTGTCTAACATTACATTGCCTATATTCCCTCTTATAGTGTTAGAAAATTAATGAAAAGCTAAGAACCTGCAGTCCAGTGTGTAAGTAAAATGAATATGGAATATACCTTCAGCACCACGTCCCAGCATAGGTGAACCTCTGGATGCGGTATTCGTGCTGTAGTTGACAGGGGTCCTGCGAGCATTGGCGTCCTCGTACATGCCTGGACTGAGCTGCGATTTGCCCGCCTCCTGGTGTGTGGAGCGAAGGACTGAGGTGGTAGAGTTGACCACAGAGGTGTGGCGTACTGCCTTGCTCTCCTCGTATTTGGCTCGTTCCATGGCCTCAAGTTGAGGCATGCTGTGGGGAAGCTTGGAGGGACTGGTGATGAGGGACTTGACGTGCTTGATAGTCGTCTGGTTGTGAGGGTGAATCTGGTAAAGGGAGGTCAAAATAGGTCAGTGACAAATTCATCATCTTCATCGTTTATATCTATTATGTATAAAAGTGGATGTTGCAAATTTTGGTTTGCCAGCTTAATGTTGTTTTTTTTAATGTTCAAAAAGTTAAGGCAAAATGCAATGTTTTAAAATGTTTAAGCTATCAATTTTTTTCATTCCATGACTCTATCTACTTCAGAGGCTGAGAAATCAAGGTTTTGGTAAACATTGGTAATTCAGTCAGCTCTTCAGGCAACCCTCAGTTTTTAAGTGGGGTTTTTCAAACAATGCTTAGGTTTTAGAGTGCATTTTCTTCAGCCCCTTCAGTCTTAATAATTGTGGCGACTGTGGCTCAGGGGTTAGAGCAGTCATCCTCTAACCAGAAGGTCGGCAAAGTGTCCAAGATACTGAACCCCAAATTTCCCCTGCTGCACAGAAATGCGCTGTATGAATGTGTGTGAATGGGTGAATGTAAAACTGTACTGTTCAGAGCTTGGAGTGGTCATCAAGACAAGAAAAGTGCTACATAAATGTAGACCGTTTACCATTTAATGGGTTAAAATCCAAAAGTAAACTAAAACCAATAATATTTGAATAATATGTGGACAGCAGCTCTCAAACTGCCTTACCTGAGATATGGATCCCTCCATAACCCTCCTGTCTGACATGTCAAGGGTCTTGCAGAGGTCCTGGCCAGACAGTTCTTGCCGGGGGATTTCGTGAATAGAACGTCCCATTTCTTTGATAGTATTCACACCCTCATAGGGCTTGCCTTTGCCAATACCCCCTTCGAAGGACCGGATTGGTGGGCTCTCTCGCTTGATCTGTTTTCCATATTTCATGGCATCTTCATAAGTCTCTGCAGCAGTTCTAGGTGTTCCTGGGAATGATTTCATAGTATTTCAAAATGTTCTCCTTATTCTGCTAGTAACAGACTTATGGAAATGTAACAAGCTGTACAATTAGCTACCTTGCATGATGGATCCAGTCATCATTGGTCGTTCCTTAGAATCTCCATGGATTCCTTCTCTGGGCAAGGCTCTGCTAATTAAACCTGAGAAACAAATAAGCCCCATCACTCTCCTGATACAAAAGCAACAAACCTTGAATACGTGTTGTAAACTCAGTGACACACAAGCAGTACCCTCGAATGGCGCTCCTTCCCTGCCGGTGTGGCCCCTGCCCATGGGTCCCTCCATCATGTCGTAAGAGCGTTTCATCTCATGGCCTGTTCTGGGGCTGCGGGTGTTTTCCCTGGGGTTCTTGATAGCTTTTGGATACAGGATTTCATGATCATGTTTGTAATCATGATGAAAAAATACACTTGTTGATTTATATATCAATAATTAAAGCACTTACCATCAAATGAGAGGATGTGACCACTCTTGCCTTCGTAAATGACATGACCTTTAGCCAGCTGTTCTCCTCTGGATTTGTCTGGGATGTTCAGGTCCTCTGTGGCCAGCTTTGTGATTGTGCCCTTCAGGAGGTCAGCAGCAATGCTGGGCTGGGGCAGGGCTGGTGTGCCCTATTTAAGAAAAGAGCAAAGATGTAACACAACACTGACTCCAGTGCTCCAGACTGTGACCTAATTGGTTTTAATGCGTGACCATTTTTTTGAGCATGTGCAAATTAAAAATTAATATGGTCACATCCAAGCATGATGATGAATAGGCTGTTTTGATGCCTCTCCAGCACATTTACTGTCTCAGCCATTGGTAGAAAGTAGTACTTTGTCTTCTTTACTGGCTCAGTTAGTCTTTCTGCCTGCAACTTCATCACACGTGCACTGATGATAAAGGTATGAAACAATCCATTAAGCTGTTAATTGGTTCCAAACATGTCTATGGCTGATTACTTTAAAACAAAATGTGGAAAGAAAGGAAAAGGATCAAGTAGAGGGAGAGCCAATGAGAGTTCCTGACTCAGGCACAACTGAGCCAGTGAAAAAGAAAAAAGCATTACTTTCAACCACAATGGCTGACGCAGCACTGGTTGTTACAGTAGAAGGGGAATGCAAAGCTTTGTGTGTATTGTAGGTCTTGTGGCTCCTCCATGACAGCTAACTCTTAACTTGTCGATGGGTCAACATAGTTTAACTTTTGAATTGGTAGGACAGGAGGAAAAAAACCTACAGGGACCTATGCATCAACCAATGCATCTCATTTTTAGTTAGTTAAATAGTTCAACAGAGGAGAATGAAATAGTCAAGTACAACATTGAATATGACATATTGAAAGAGGAACACCCCTTAAGTCTTTTATATATTAATGGTTATTATCATCCAAATACTCATAATAAGAACCCATCTCATTCAGTCATTACCTGAGTAATTGATCCTCTGTAAGTCAGACCCTCGCCTACCTTTGCTGGGTTGCATCTGCCATCCTGTATGGATGTAACTGCACCGCCTAAGGAGTTACAAAGAGAAAACATACAGAGTAAAATTATGAATGACTGATGCCATCTATTGGAGTTAAACCAAAAGCTTGATTCTTTTAAATTGGTACATGCCCTGTACTTGTGTGAATCTTTTCTAACTCAGTGGACGAAGCTCATTAACCTATTCACACCTACACACACACGCTTTGTGACAAAACAGTATGTCTTTATTTGTCCTGAACACTGGACACGGTAACATTATGTAATATGGATTATTCAATTGGTGGCGTAACAGTTATGTTTTCAGCAGCAGTGGTAATTTGATTGACCGCTAGTGTGGACAATAGGAATCTTATAAGGAAATGTTAATAGTGGTAATTTATTCATTTTTCTATAGTTTTCTCAACATATTTTACTTTTACAGAGCAGTTAAGACACTTTTCTGTTGTGATTAAGAATATATTTAAAGCGAGGGATATAAAAAAAATTTCTGCAATGGTCAGTGACGACACCCCATCAGATAGAGTGGACAGTCATGTGATCTCAGATTAGAGTGGTCCCTTATTGGATGGATGATTTTTCACATCTTCACTTTTCAATCATCACATAAACTGGCAAAAGGCATGCAACAGACTTTAATCTATATCTATATGAATGTGAAAAATAAGTATAATAATCTGGCGTCACTACAGTGGTGTTACTAATAGCTGCATTCAAGCCTTCTGGTTCACAACAAGCCTCTTGTTTGGTTTTATCTGAATGGTGTCCTGTCTGTTTGAACTGTTTGACGACAAAACAGTGTAGCAATGTGACCTTCTGGAGTCATACCAGGTTTGCTGGGATCCTGCTGCCGAGGCAGACCAAGAGAAATGGAGCCCACGGCGCTCTTATTCCCCTCTGGCCCATAGACAGCATGGGGGGGGAGGTATGTGCCAGGAGTTCCCTGGAAAAGCAGGGCCAAAGAACATTTTTCAAGGTCAGGTCACTGTGTTCATGAAAACAAGTAGTGTCAAGTGACGTTGATGCACATTTATGTGTTACAGATATTCATTTATCAACTGTGGTATGTGAAAACATAAAAGTCATAAAACTTAATATTCTACTATGCTACTACACCTTTTACAAAGTATCAAGGTTATGGACCTGTGTTGAGCATTTCATACATTAGCTTCTGTTGAACTGAGTTAGTGAGTTCAGATCAAGTAATGACAGTCGTGAAGCCGTGCACTGGAAAAATAGGACATGACACACATTTTCACACCTTCATCCCTGCAAATATACATATATTTGCACTGAACAATTCTCCTCAACTAATGAAAATTAAATGAGAAATTGATGACAGCTTACTTAAAGTTTGCCATGAGTATATAATGTAATAAAAACATTTTTTTAAGCTCTCAGACACTAAACATTTTGTCCTAAACGACAATGGAGTTTCCTCCTGGGTCAAAGCTTCTAAGATATTCTCAATTTTAAGAGTTGCATTAGTGCAAACGAAGTCTGTGTTCCTATTAAGGTTTAATGTTAATGGTACTTCACTCTTTTAGTTTGACATTTAACTACAACCCATTGGGTTCATTTTTTGGGAGAGATTAAGGACAATGATTTTATTAAGTTGGTATTTAATAACTTACTGTGCATTTTTGTGGAATGTTCCAACATTCCACCATCAAACCCAGATTAGTTAATTTAAAGGTAAAGCTCATATGAAACTGATGATTTAAGAATTGTAATTTTAAATTATTTCATTGATTAATCTGGGGCCACCACTCAACCAATGTCATGGTCTCCCTTACCTGGGAGATGGAGCCTCCTTGGATGAAGGACGGCTTGTCCGTGGGCTTGGTGGTTGGAATGAGAGGAGGAGGAGAGGGAATGTTGGGAGGTCGACTGGATCTGCTGAATGTCACCCGAACTCCATCTGTCATACTCTGGACCAGCTGGTTGGGAGCAGGGTGAAGGACTGGTAGGAATATAACAAAGGACAAAAAAAAATCAAAACTTTCACAAGCAAACTTTTTGGAATCGAATACCAACAAGTGCAAATTGCAAAAAATTGCAATAGCAAAATCGCTTCTCTGGTCCAGCCATCCTACTTGTTCCATTAAGTTAAATTTTCCATCAAAGACTGCAAGATAAAATATTCAGCTTCATTCTGACAGACTCCAGTGAGTGGTGAAGTGAGTATGGAAGACAGACAGACAGTTAATAGTGTGTTCCTCAGCCTGAGGTGACCTTGTCCCAAGCCTGCTGTCTGCTTTACTGTCTCCTAGGAAATGCATACAAATTGTTTTATAACACACACAAACACATACAGACTGGCGGTAACCTCCCTGCAGGGAGTGCACCTCATGCTTTGCACTCTATAAAATAAAAAATGCTAATGTCTGCATGAGAGTTCCTCCAGTGGGCATGGACGTCATCATCCTGCTGGCTCATCCAGGGACAGATGAGAAAACAAGCCACTCCATGACGAATTTATAATCCCTGTTGCAGGGAGACTGTGTGTCAAACATTAACATTCATGCTTCGGTTCACCATGAGGGACAACAACCTAATTCTAAGGACAGTAGAAATAGGTTTGCATTGAATGACAAACAAGAGGAACCATTGCAGTCAAAAGTCAGTATCAATCCAAATGCCTCTTCCACATCACATTTTCACTGGGAAAGTTTTCTGTTGCAGAGCCCCATTTTTTCCTTGAATTTGAATTCTGTAAATATAGTTAATAAATGCAGGTATGTAAAATACTGAGAAACCATAAATTGCCAGCAAGATCAACAGCAATTATACCTCAGCTCCCACCAAAAGTTACTTTACTCTGCACGCATACAATTTTTACTGAAAATTGTCCAACATATGAAACTTTCAATCAGTGTCACAACAGCAATAAAAGAGGGTTTATTATGTAGTTAATTTGTATATTTCAAACTCTACGTAGAAGAGTTGAAAGTAGTGAACAACAATAAGTAGATAATATGATGTTGGATGAACTGTAGTGACACAACGAAGCCTAAGCTCAGTTGCTGGTCATTCTTCAAAGTAAAATAAGATAATCTTATTTAAGGATTGGTCATTCATCATAATCACTTACATAGGTCGTCTCATTTCTGTTTTCAGGGTGCAATAGTGTGGGTGTTCTTCATTCACTAAACTAAAAAGCATGTTTCTAAAAAAAAAAAGGGCACAGACATTTCTAGTCATGTGTGTTCCATTATAAGCTGCAATGAGAAATAACATTACAGCTACAGAAAATTATTACTCTTAGTGACCTTTGTTCTCTGTTCATTACAACACTGCGTCACAGTCACTGTTTCATGTACACGCATGTTGTACTGTGTTTTTTTTTTATAAACTGTTGCATATTGTTTAGGTGATTATGATTTGAATAGGTAGGTGTTGTGCATTTATACATAACAGAAGGTGACTGAAATGTAAGTAACACTGGATTGAGAAGTGAAGCAACTTTTCAAATAGGTAATGTTGTGTTATTCTAAGCAATAAAAACAAAATTAAACTGATGACGATGGCAATTATTGATTGGTACTGATTCACAAACCACATCAGCTTGAGATGAAAATGTAGCACAAAGGCCAAGATTACGGGTGAAAACGTTTTTCACAAAGTGTTTTCTTTGTGCACTGGTGGACAGACCAACAATTACTGATTTATACAGTGACGTACTTGCTACAGTTATAAAATCACCAGCCTACTCAAGTGTTAGGACCAGAAAGAGCTGGCACCTGCTTGTTTGATCTGTACTGTACCAGTGCACATGCACAAGCACACCGTGCATTAAACACACAAAGGAATCTAGGTTCTGCAGAGCCCAAAAATCTATAACATTATGCATCAATAATCCAAAGAAAAAGACCCAATACAGACAAAGATATTGACTCTTATTTAACACGGTTCCATCCAAGCACCTAATACACAAAATTGTACCTATAAAAAAACAGAAAATGACACATTCATAGACAAAAACTACTAGAAAACATTTATGAATCAATTTAATTCAATCTTTCTGATTCAATATTCCCAGAGTGAGAGACCAGCAGAGGTTTTAATGTGTATTTCCTATGTCAGCTTAACACTGGCTTAATTCAACCTATACATGGTATAACCCCAATGTGGGCACATATACCACTGGACAAGAGGACAAGTCATTTAGAACACTGCCAGACCCCATTGTAGGACAAAATTTAAATCTCTACAACAGTCCGCCCCCGCTATTATTGCAAATTGAAGATAAATAAGTACATAAAAAGAAGATATAAATACAGGCTATTATCATAGCCTGTATTAGAGTAAAATATAAAAACATTTCAAACTGAGCTTAAGTAAACTGTATATCAGTCCAAACTATATAAATACATTTCCTGCTGCCTTTAGTCAACAAAGTGCCTCCATTGTCAAACACAAAAGGCTCAATGTGCGTCAGACAAAGCTACGTTATATCAGCACAGGAAGGGAGGAGGCAAGAAGGGAGAGAAGGGGGTGAAGATGTGTGCTTTTACCTGGCGGCACACTGTAGCGGGAGGCACTGGGGGCGTTGGGGTCAGGCTGGGGTGAGGCCCTGCTCAGCTCCCTGGGAGAGAGTCTGTAGGGAGAGCCTGGCAGACCAGAGTGGGCCTCCTGGTCCAGAGCCAGCTTCATGTCATAAGGCAAGTAGGATAAGAGCTTACCTGCAGTACACAGGCATAGGGACAAAGGGAAGACAGCCACTATTAAAACAAGAACTCAATGCCAGTGAGCATTGAGCTGACCTAGAATGGACGGGCCTCTCAACTAACACCGCCACCTGGACACACCCGCTGAAACCTATGTAATAAATATCTTGGTGCCAAAGCCCAGCAGCTTACTGACAGCTGCTCTGCTCTTCACAGCACTCCGGCTAAAAGGTGCTAAAAGCTTTGCAAAAAAAACAAAACATCATGCAGTCTGCCTAGTGACTTCACCGCTCTCCCTTCAGAGGCTAACTGGCTAAACTAAGTCTAAATGCACAGAGCCAGCAAGTGTACTATGCTGACACGCTCAAGTCATTCAACTTCAAAAAGCACCACAGTCCTTTTCTTCCAAAGGCAATTCAGGGGCCGCACCGTCCTTTGCACACCTCCGTGTAAAACAGGGTCGGCTAACATTTTTGTCTTGGCTCAGGCTGAACCACACTACAACAGTCGAGATCACCTTCAAACTCATCCTTTTGTGAAACTGCAAAAAAATGATTTGGGCCTAAAAATGCATTTGCTATAAATAGTACACTGCTCACAGCAACAGGGAATGAGGCTGACGGAGCGATGAATAGGGAGGAGGAGTGATGAGGACAGAATGAGGATATTTTTTTTGTTCACTTACCATCTCTGTCAAGCATGGTGGGGCTGCGTGTGTTGAAAGGTGGTCTGCGATCCAGATCTCCCTGATCCTGCCTCTGCTTCTCCTCCTGGTGGGCAGAATCGTGCACCGCTTTGATCTGGTGTTGCAACATGGCAAAACCACTGATGGGCACGCCACCAGGACCAAAAGGACCGGGCAACTGGAGGAGTTAATGAGGGAAAAGGTCCAGATTAGGTGAAATTAAGATATGATACTGCAGCACTGAACAGAGAGCAGTGACACAAAAAATGTATTATTCTTTGCATATCTTGGAACATAAAAAGATATGAGACACATTTCATAACCATAAATAAAAGTGAGACTATATATATGACATTTAAATAAAGACCTTGATAAAAATTCTAGATTTACAGATTAGAAAACAGTCCATTTCGGAGCCCATCGGCTATCATCTGATGGTGGCAATAGCGAATATTTCACCACACAAAAAACAAACAGCGATACTTTTTGATTGGTGGTTTAGGTCCAGACGACATTTTGGCCAATTTCTTCTAACAGCCATCTGCCTATAGCTGATGCATTTTGTCAATGTGATCCACCTCTCTTGCTCTCCACATGGACTGTTTAACTGCGGGCAACCAAAGCCTGCTCAAACATGATTGGTTGAACTAGAGACAGAAACAGAAAAAGGCTTCCGGCCCCAAAATCTTGTCCCTCACCTACAGATTCTGCATATTCCCTAGAACAATCAGTTTCTAGATTACGAAATAGTAAAGAGCAACATAACAGCACACAATGGAACTGTTGGGTCCAGGCTGACAGAATAAACACCTACAGTTTGTAATCTGGCCACATTGCTCATAATGACTGATATGTTATAACCCGCTTCCTGCTTCTGTCCCAATCTGAATGAATCAATGTGAAACTGTGACTAACCATAGGTGGGATGGCAGCTGCCCTCTGTTGCAGCTGCTGGATGTTGAGCTGCACTTGCTTGGGTGAGGACACCAGCACCGAGCCTGGCGGGTTGAGCAGTGAAGGCTTGTCCATGGAGAATATTCTGCCGAGGCACAAGGAAAAGCATATCGGTAACACTCGTGCCCTGTTCTTGTTAACTGCAATTTTGTTCACACAAGTTGAGAACATGTCAGGTAAAAACACACCTCTGTCTTTCAGGCTCTGCTTCCACATCCTCGTCAGCACTGCAGGTGGCACTGGAGTCATTATCTGAATGGAGATCCCTTTGCATCTCGCCATGATCACCTTTTTCTCCTTTTTCCTTCATCTCAGGCTCCATCTTCACCTGAACCTCTCCGGTCTTCATGTCCACATCCTGAGGTTCAGTTTTGGGATGTACTGAGCCAGCATAGGGAGCCACCCTGGACCTTTCCTCCAGAGATCCAGTCTCACTCTCTGGACTTTTCTCTTCCTTGACACAAAGTTCCCCATATGAGGTCTCTTGGGCTTTTCCATTGCTGGCCTGACCTTTGTCCTGGTCAGAGCAGTGAGCATCTCCTGCAGCGTTCTTGGAGTCACCAGACTTTGAGGAGTCAGCCTGAGAGGGGGAGGGGGCGCTCTCTGTATCTGAGCTGTTGTCACCACCTAAGGAAGCATGACAAGATGAATTAGTACATGTCAAAGATAAATGAAACTACTTGCAACTGACAGGGCATTAGTGCAAATTGTGTTGTCATATAAGAATAAAGGACAAGAAAGAAAAATATTATGGAACGGAAAATGATAAAGTATCCTTTGAAATGGTTTCTTGTAAACCATTTTAATTGATTAAAACTAAAACATGTGCGAATGAATTAACACATTTGAATATTTTATTCAGCAGTATTTATATATCTGCACACACTATACCTCCTGATTAATGGAACAGTTTCCTCCACTGTTGAGAGGATGATTTAGCCACTGTTGCACTACTTAATAAGAAACATCTTGCAAAGTTTTGTGTGGGTCATTAATGTTATTTGATTATACCGGTTCTTGGAAGAAAGAAAGTTATTGACCTCACCCAATTATACAAGAAGTGTCAAAGAATTATCTAAGACAAACCACAAAGACTTGCAGGCAGCACAATGACATTTATAAAAGGCAAATGAAACTATCAAGTAAGGGCTGCTATCAAAGGAGTGAGTAAATTCCAGGTTTTTGAATCTTCATCAGAAATCTGTGAGACCAACTACTACCTGCTCATCAAATCCACAATACAAGTTAGAGATTACATACACTTACATACATAACTGATTATGAAACCATTACTTTATGCCTTACATGTCTTTTCTACTCGAAAAAGTATCCACATATACAAACATAATGACGAGTTCCTTCAGTTCACTTCAAAATGTTGCTTTGTACAACTGAAATATGCCAAAGTCAAGACCATGGCCTCAAAGATTAAAAAAAACGCTTCATTATACAAACTTATCAGCGGTTCTGTTTATCTCAAACTAAACACACAGTTTGACAAACACGTCACTGAACAAATTGCAACTTTTCATAATATAAAGCAATAATTAATTACTAAATTCATTCACCTTGATGATAAAAACTGTATAAATCTACCTGGTGTGCATCTGTTGCCATGGTGACAGCAGTCCAGATGCTATGTCTATGCAAAAACTATTGCAGATGCAATAAATGTATCAAACTTAAATCCTAGATGCAGCATTACGAAACATCTAAATGACAACCATCAGAATGTTTGTGCGTACACTTTAATAGAGCTGTGCTGAAGACTCTAGTGGCTTCATGTCTAAATGTATAATGTGGGGTCTGCAGGCTGCAGATCACGAAGACCTGTACAGCGCAGCTTGGGTTTTTGTAAGAGAAGAAGAAAGTTAAGTCAAATAAACATGACAGAAAATGTTGTGACTTCCTATTTTCACTTGTTTCCTCTTGTGAACCTAAACGTGACCACTTTCTAGCAGTTTTGCAATAATGGATAAAATGTTCATATTTTTTATATTAACCAGTGATATTCAGTGCTTATTCATATTTCTAGACATACCTGCCTTTTTCATCCCTGCACCATATAATACCAGAAAACCTGAGGACTTCTGGCAACCAGTGAGGCGAGTAGACAGACAGGCTTACTGGATCAAACAAGAGAACCAGCACTTTGTGTTCAAAGAGCAGGATTTGTTGAGTCTTCAAAGCCAAGAACTGTTATGCAACAGGCGCCCATGTAGTCAGAATTAGTTCATATCTTTTATCTCTTCCTCTCCCCCTTGCCTTTTTTCCTTATTTGATCCTTTTCCCCCTCTCTCATTAAAACTACAGTTAACAGACAGCAAGCACATTGCCATCAACTCAACTGAAATTCTTACATGTCAATTGAGAGGCATTTCAAATCAGGATTTACTGCTTTGCACTGTACTTATCACTACAATCTTTCTCTTTTTACTCTATTTACTTAATAGTAATATCAAGCACAAAGTTTCACAACCCATAGATAAGGACAAAAAAATTGAATAAACAGTGTGCTGTGTACTTCCTCCAACGTTGCTTTAAGACTTTTACCTCAGATAAACAGGAACAAAAGTGTGTGAACATGCTTGAGTTTGCGTGTGTGCTTATCCATCTCTCTGACCTTCACTATCATCTGCATTGTCCTCATCATCATCAGGTGATGCTGTGGCTAGACCTTCACCTTGAGACCTATCAGCACGAGCCCGCCTTGTATCCTGGGAAACACAAAAAAGTAGTATCTTGCATTCATACATTACAGTTACACACGCAATGATAGATCAAGGGTGGAGAGCGTAAGATATCAAAAAGCTTACTTGCTTATGCTGCTGGAGCAGATTGTCCAGATTGTGGCGTCTCTTGTAGTTGAAGTAGAAGTTCTTGCACTGTGCCTCACTTTTGGTGCCCACCATTTTGGCAATGGCTGTCCAGTTTCGCCCATGCTCAACAAGCCCTGGTTGAGGACAAAGACAGACGATGCAATAATAAAGATTTGCGGCGTTTTAACACTTGCCAAAACCCAAACTTGTAAGACTGAAATCACTTGTTATGTATATAAACTAAGGCTATATTAAAATTCAGACTAATTTAAAGCAGGTTATGCACTGTATTCAAGTGTAGGTATCATAAAGGCACAGCTTGTATAACCAAGAAATCAAAAACCTGATGTAACGATCCCATTCAGACCTGGTATTAACATACGTCCCAATCCGGGACTTGGCCTGAGTGCACCCAAATAGGACTTCAATGCGTCCTGAGATCCAATCACTCAAACCACATTAGATGGTCTAGGAACCATGTGGCCACATTCTTTCCGCTGTGTGAACGTGACAAGAAAGACCCTTACGGCTGAGTAATAACCGAATCATTTTGTCTTTGCGTGATTAGTTGCATTTACAGCACGGAAGTGAGATCAAATCACATTCAGGACATATTTTAATATGAGGTGTGAACACATTTGTGATCAGATCTCTCAGGACGGATTTTAATACCAGGTCTGAACTGGGTCTACGTCGACTTATGTTTAAATTAAACAACTCTCATTTCCAATTGCTGCTTCATGTTAAGTCAGGGTTATAATTATGATCCATACAGATGATCTCGATAAATTCTTTATAGTCTCTCTCTTTACAATCAACTTTTGTATTGCTGCAAATTTAAACTTTTCTCCTGGGGGTCCATGTTGCCATGGCTTGTTTTTAGTCTTCTCCCATCCTGATTAACACTGAGCTTAACACACAATCAGCTTTGATGGTCTCACTAAACTAGCTGCAGTTAACTGGCAGACAGCCGTTTACCTTTGACATAACTCTTCTCTAAATCCTGTAACCCCTGTGACCTCCCCTTCCTCCCAGCCTCACTGAGATGAGGGATAGTGGTCGACATTTGACAAATCACGACAGAGCACAACACAAAGCCCCATTACTATTCACTTCACTGAGAGAATGGGGGTATTAGGAATGTTAAGAGTGGGCCCTTTCAGAGTTGTTAAAACATGCAGATTTAAAAAAAACTTGTATTCAGTATTGTGAATTTTATAACATAGTGTCAAAACCTAGAGTCCAAAAACATCCAATACATACAACTTAAGATGCTTAGTCTCAGATATCTAGGTCTCATTTGCTTTGACTTTATCTAGAATCCATTAAAAATAAATGAAACACCACAGCAGAGAAAAAAGATATTTCACTAGCATCAGAATCATCTATTACACCAATCTGCCACAGTATTAGAACAGGCAACTAGTTTTAACGTTCTAACTAATCTGTTTATTATTAGTTTACTTGTTTAAATCAAGTTATAAAAAATGACTAAAACGAAAAAATAAATTTGGAAATACGTAAGCGATGTAACAAAAAACTCTTAGGAATTTATGTTTGGTCGCTTAACTATTGACAAATTGTGACAAAATTGTTGACAAGAGAAATGTTCACACATTTAAATGTCCTCTCTTAACAATTCTGCCCTTTTTTCATTTCTAGATCTGCATAAAACTTTGGAGAAATAACAGTATGATGGTGTTACCATGGCAACAACCTACCCACTCTTTTTGTGCAAACATTTTTGACTTAAGATCAAATTCTGAATTTTAAATTAAAAGAGGTAGATACTTGGCATGTCAAGTTTATTATAATTATTGTAAATGTTACAAGGAAAACTTATCTTGAGTCATAAGATAGTGTAGCAGCCCTGCAATAAAAGGCTGTCTTTATGAAGCTGATAATGTTACGTATTTTCTAACTAGGAGGAGCTAATGAGTTATGCTTATTCAGATCAACAGGTTGCAACTATGACAAAGAGGGAACTGTATTCAATAATCAGGCAGGACCAGCCATCCATGGCAGCATAGCATAGAACGGATTTCTGAACGTGCTCTGTCATATGACTAGAGGAGGTCGAGCAGGTTTCTTTTAGGTCGACTAATCCAGAAATAGTTAGAATACAGGTCTGAATATCTGAGATCATAGCAGCAATATATTTCTGTAAAGGGGGAAGCAAATCTCCAAAACCCACAAAACAGTCTTAATTAATCCACATATAATCCCCAGTGTGTGGTTCTTAGCACTAAGGGAACCCTTCACAGAGCCAGTGACAAAGAGGGAGAGGGGGCACACTCAAGTGGCTTATGACCTGACTGCAGCAGTGCACTCTGAGAGCAGCATGCAACATTTTAAAGAATTTACGAGACCAAAGTGACTTTAAAATTTTTTAGGGGATCTGACAAAGTGTTTGAGTGTGAATAATAGATAGCGATCTCGGAAGAAGCCACAAAAAACACTGATGCTTAATGGATGGCCTTAAAATATAAATTCTATGAATACAGCAGAACGGTGGAGCTAAAAGACCTCCATGGGTCTCTGACAGCTTCCAGTAAAGCAGCAGCAGCACAAGTTTAGGTTAATGCGAACATTCATTCCTGCGTGCATGTAAGAAACAGGCAGGGCGAGGCAACATCAGATTATCAGAGGAGGAAAAGAGAAGGGGGGGGGGGCAAGCAAAGATCATAAAAAGCAGAGGAGCCACAGTAACACAAAACAGGAGGACAGAGAGATAAAGCCAGAGAGAGATTAATTAAAAAGCTACCTTTTTTGGCGACCTCCATCTCCTCCTCGGTCCAGCGAGAAGTTTCTCCGGTTTCAGCAGCACCAGCTAAATCACAAAGAGGAGAAAAAGGAGTCCCATAAGCTCTGACAGGGAGAAAGACAGATAGAGAGCAACAGAGAAGGAGGGAGGGAGACAGAGAGAGAGCGAGAGAGTGGCAGTCCTCTCTTCAGCCGTCTTCTTCTCATGGCCACTAATCTAATAATCTGTTTACATTCAGGGGCTGCCGAGACCTGCTCCCTCACTTACACTCATGCTCTAGCTCACTCTCACAATCTCTTTCTCTCTCTCTCTCTCTCCCCCCCCCCTTCCCCTCAGCCCAGTACAAACGCTCCTCCTCTCTAATCCATGAGGGGAGGGCCTTGGTCAGCTGATGTAGCACCAGACAGTGGAGGAGTTAAGAGCTGTGCCTCCCTCTCTGGGAAAAGGCCTTGGATGGAGACAAATAATCAAATAGAAGAGCCAGTCCTCCCTCCCGCCCCTTCTACTGTGACACCGTGCATCTCATGCACACTCCTCCTTCTTGCCTTGGTTAAACTACACAGATCCACCCCACCCCAACAAACACAAAATTCACAGAAGTGCAAAGTTAGTGTGGAGGGGGCCGAGTGAACTCTAGCCTACTCTCTCCCATGGAACCCACTGAGACTGAGTAAACATTTGGACTAATATAGCAGCAGATGTACCCTTGACATTAACAGGAGGCTTGCCCACCACCCACACCCACCCACCTCGAAGATGAGGAGATCGGTTCTCACTGTTAAGATGGCTCCTACCAAAGGTCCTCCAGCCACACTTAGTTAAACAAATGTCGACTGGACTAGGCTTCTGTCTCCAATAGCAAAACTGACATGTTCTCCCTGTGACAGCCTCGGCCCCTCTAGGGCGAGCATTAATCTCTGGGCTAAGAAAACAGGCTGAGTGTCTGTCTATAGCGTAACATTTGACGGAATGACAGTCACACACAAAATTAATCAGCAGCTTCCTAAACTTGCCTGGCATCATTGCAAACGGGAAAGGCTGACAGATATCTACCCTCTAGTGTCTAGCCCACTTATTTCTAAGAAGCACCATAGCTGGAGGGGTTACAACAGAGCAAGCAAACAGTTGACATAGTCCTACGTGAAGCGTGATATGCCCAGAACAGAGCCAGAAAGGTCAGAGGGTTGACAGGATGGAAGGACACAATCAATCCCGTTATTGAGCAGACTTTGCATTACTTTAAAAGTGCTGAGTGAGGTGAAGCTCGACAGACGGCAGCACTAGCAGGTGGCAAAGAAGCACAGCACACTTACAAAACAGTTAATTAATGATTCACATTAACGTCCGCGGCGAGCTTAGCACACAGGGACTCGGATACCTGAGCTAACACCGACAGAGAGACAGACTTCAAAGGGTGGAGGAGTACAAGTGCATGACTAAGCACCATGACAACAGCTGAACCAGAGCCGTGGTTTGCCATGGGGATGGACAGACTACAAAGCCCTTCCTGAGTGGAGTGCAGAGCACGACAGAGTCTGTCTGACGCTAAGCACTCGGAGTATGAACCTATTGAACCAACTGTCCGCTCTCAGGATAAACTGGTTAGCTTTACGTTTCAAAAAGAAGAAACTGCAGCACTAAAGCCTGACACATCTGTTAAATTTTTAAACATACAAATGTATTATGATATCTGGCAAGTGTTATTCCATTCTTCCAAAGCATAACATAAGATGTGAACAGTATGAACATTCTATGTTACATCAGGTCCGTCAGTGACAACACCTAAATTATTCATCAGAGAGAAAAGAATATCTTGCGCCCACTGTGACATTCATGAGGCTAAACTGCGGACAGAGCTCACTTCACAGAAACCATTCTAGTTAATTGCGTAGGTTACCGTGTGCTTGTTAATAATTACATAAGAGCAATATCTGTATAAAAGAATTTGCTTGTTTATCATGGGAATTAAAAAACACCCTAAGAGGGCTTAGCAATAAACCAAAAATGTATCAATACTGACATTTATAAGCTCTAACTCACCTAATTTTGCTTGTGTCGGTTAATCCGGTTTATACTATCCCCAATGCGTGCATTCATGAACTGTCGGGCTTCGGCTATGTTCTGTATCAACCTGCTGCATGTTTTCCCTCCTCACTCCGCCGTTGACCTGCGCTCACATTACCCATTAATAATAAACACCAACACTAATCAGGACACGTATTTAAACACAAAAAAGTCCAACACTTTGCGTGCACACACAACAAGAGACTTAACGTGATGCACACAGGATATCCGGGTTAAAGTGAACTAAACGATCCAACATCATCGATTAATGACTAAATAAATGTGATCATCAGTTTGTGTAAAGCGCGACAGGGACAAGGAGACACACAAATGCAGGAGAGAAGTTCAAGGCATAACATTGTGGGAGCTATCAAGTGTTTAGTGTGTGATGTCACTGATGTCCACAAATGTCTCTGGAATACTGTAAAATATACTGATACATTAAAAAAACTATAAATCCTGCTCTTTGCTTTCTCATCTGTTTCTTCTCTTTTACATACCCGCTTGCTTACTATCATTGCAGAGGGAAAATGACCGTGGGTCAACAGCCAATAACACCCAAGTTACGGATATCTGAATAGCATCATTTACTAATAGGTGTGTTTGCTGTGTTCAGTTCAAACAATCACCCCTTAGGTGAAAACCCAGCAGAATATTGTGGGAACACTTTCATTTTGTGGACAGCAAAATAACAAAAACAAGAAAACTCACAATCAAAAATAATTTTCATTTTGAAAGAAGTGTTGTTTGTATTTAGGAACAAAGTTTCCCATCAGTCAGCAATAGACTTCAAGTGACAATATTCATAACTTGGACTTTTTTACAATAAAAAAACTCTTCACATATGACTTCACAACCATTTTAAAGGTAGAAAGTCGCAATTGTGTTGCCGTCTTGTTGGTTTACAATGCCATTAAATCTGAATGAATTACACATTCTTTCTCCTGGTATGTGTAAAACAAATTGAATGGTTGTGGAGAATCTAAGAAAGCTAATGATATTTGGCATGTCTACATTGAAAAACATTTAAGTAAGTTAAATGTATGCCTCCTGCTATGGTGCCTTGCTCAAGGATAACACGCCCCCAGAAACCAGCTGGGTTCAAAGAGGCACTTGGTTATTTACATTATACTGGCAAATATATGATGTATATGTATGTTCACACATATATTTTGCATGGATATGTATCATTAAAATTGTGAACTCCCTTTCTGTCATTTATGTGTCAGCATATGTGTTCCTGTGTAGCAACATATCTTCAACAACTTCCAGAGAGCACAAGAATTCACCTTTATTAGCATCCATGGCAGACACTGGAGTTTTTGCACCCTCCTTCATGGCCTTCTGTGCTGGATCAGATTTCGGGAGCTGTGGAGGATCTGGTAAGGCAGGATCAGAGGCAGAGGGAGGTCCTTCCTCAGCCGCCACAGTTGCAGCCTCATTGGCCATGGAGCGTGTGGTGACTCTCCCCTTACGACGGCCCTGGCTGTTGGCAGTCTTCCTGCCACGCGGCGTGTTTTGCTCCTTTCCGTCCTCGTCCTCCCCACCGTCACACTTGTCTTTGTCCTTGCCAATGTCCCTGTGGTTTTGGAGAGGGAAAGCACAGCTTTAGAGAGTATTCGTACAGCAAATATCGATTCACTTCTGACTCAGCAACATGCCCTTTTTGTAATCTGTTCTTTTCCCCCATGACTTAACACAAGAAAAGAAGAGTTGGTCTGCACTCAAACCGAACAGACATGTTAACAAGTTTGCAAGTTGCAAACTAGTGGCAGAGCACCACAACAGATACTGCTCTGCCACTTCCAAGTCATCTCTAGACCACAAACATGCATCACTCCACCAAGAGCCTGGGGATGTAAAATCTTACCATTATAATAATGGTAACACAAAACTAGAATTTGTTTTATGATAAAAAGAGACCAGCTACATTAACTGTGTGTAACTCTTGTGCTCGTTCCTTTTAAATGTCAACAAGTAACATTCATTTAGCACAAGCTACAGTCATATCCCTTGTCATATCTCATATCTATCATATCTCTCTCATATCCATGGGTTGGAAGCATATAGTCGATATACACAACTGTAAGTAAAATAACTAGCTCACAATAACATATAATAAATAATCCTAGTGTATGGACCAATATCTGACATTGAACACAGAACTTTACCTGCAGGCCCTGATGGAACCAGATTAACAAAGAGACAAACAACTATTCATAACTCACCTAGAATCCTCCTTTTCATCTTTCTCTTCCTCGTCCTTCTTTTCCTCGTCCTCTTTTTTCTCGGACTTCTCAGATTTGTCCTCTTCGTTTTTGTCGTCTGTCTTCTCTTCTTGTGAGGGACGTGTTATTTGCTGCAAAAAAGGGAAAATATTAAGTATTTCCTCCTTGAAACATTAAAAAAAGGTTCATGTGCATTGCAAAAAAACCAATACAAAGCAGTGCAAGCTACTCAGTCCACACTGAAATGTTACAATTTATAACTGCCACACACACTCCTGACATTTAATACTTCTTGCTAACAGCCATCTTCTGATGGTATAGCATTGGCCCTTTGAGCCCAGAGGACCATGTAAAATGATACAACAGAATATAATTTTTCTCAATAAGTAATGACAATATGGAATATGAGGCATCTAGTTGTGCAGAGGGATAAGGGATCAAATGCTTTGAATTTTCTTCCATACTGCAACAGATAAAAATGTAGAAAGTCTAAGGTAGAAAATGAGAAGATCTTAGCATATTAAAATAAAAAAAGTGTTGGAGGATGAGTTCAGAACAATATCACATTCTACATAAAGGAGAGTGAAAACTCCATTGAAAAACTTGATTTCAAAAAACAGGTCCAATAGAGTGATTGAGGGCAGAGCAACATTCTTTATCATCACCACTTGCGCGGTACACCACAGAATGCTTCCTCCTGCATGCTCCATGAAAGCGCTGTGCTGGAACAAGTCTGGCTATGCCAAGCCAAACATCCCATGCTGGTACCAGATGGGGTCAAGGAATGTGCTTCACTCAATGGCAAAGGCAAAAAAATGGAGGCAATGAGAAGGAAGACAGGGCGACAAAATAAAAAAGAGAAGAAAGCAAGGTTGTAGCGGGTCAATTTCGCAACAACACGGCTCTACATAAAAGGAGACTGGTTGCCAAATAACACAATTAAGCCTGATGCAGAAAAGCCTGACACCTTTATAGAAACAGTCACACTGATAAAATGATAACAGCTTATCAGCTTTAGCTGACCAGACAGTAGCCGTTTTAATGCCTGTGTCTCCTGACTTGCAGAAATAGCTCCGGCCAGCTCTAAACAGGAACAGCCAATAACCAGCAGGATTTGCCTTCCAGGAGTGGAGCTACATGACAAGCAAAATCAAATCTGCAATATTAAAAAGAAAACTCCATGTGATGCTCTATTAGATTTACCCTTTATACTTTATATAAGTCTGATCACAGCCTTCCCTTCGTGCCCCTTAAATCAATTGTAAACAAAACTGGAAATTTGATTTGTAGTTGATGTCACTGCTGTTATCTGCTTATTTGTCAAGACTGCATGATATGTTTGCTCTTACTTTTTGCTGCAGATCAGGTCACCTGAATATGATGGTGCCATTCATTTAAAAAAAATGTTTTGACCTAGTTCTACTCCTGCAGAGTCAGAGCTCAGGTGTAAGTTAAGGTATGCCGTACAGACATGACCACGTAAAACCTGAATTGGAATTTTAAATCTTGGCTCATTTCTTGCCTGGATGAATGTTTTAGCACTCAATAATTCAGAGGAATTTTTGCAGCAGAGAAATTTTGTGTTTAAGGCAGATTTATTCTCCCCATTCATGTCCTCCATTGAGATGCTGTTCTGGTTGGGCATGGGAGCGCTTGTGTTTGCTTTGGAGGTGGTCAGAGAGTCATGGCATTCCTGCCTCTTCTCCCACACTGCGTAAAGAGCCTCTACACACAGATGTCCTCCAAAAGTCAATGAGGCCCTGTGGTTCTGCGGTTCTGTGGGTTTCCAGCGTTTTAAATGAAGCTCTTTTCTGACCTGGCTTGAATACTTTGAGTTTTAACTTTTCTGCTCTTTTGCTGATTCACAATCACAAGTCCTGTTTGATTTAGGAAATAATGGAGCCACAAGTCAATCTTCCCTTTCCTACCACAGAATTATGGCCGCCAGAGGAATCTCTCACTTTTGCTTCAAGCTGTTTCAATGCAATAATAGGACAATGTAAAATACACATTTTATGCTATTATATTATTACAACGCATCACCTCCATCCTTGCAAATCATTAAAGTAATTGCCAACATCCAGGGACACAATTAGCCAGAAACATTCTAGTTAAATGGGTAAAGTGGAAAAGAATAAGGAAAGGAAATGAAGCTGTGCATCTTCTGGTCCTAAAATAACAATAAAAACTGTGTTACAGGTGAACGGACTCAACAGAAACTGTTGAAAGAAAGGGGGGCCGGAACGGGAACGGAAGTGTGTGTGTGTGGGGGGTGTTAACTGGTTTAACTGGGAATTGCCACCAGTTAACAGAGTTAATATCACGTCTACATGTAAGGAATTGGTCAGCCTTTATGGAACCCAATAACAAAGAACAGACATGTGCAAGGAGTTGCACATATTTTCACAAGCTGAACAACACGTGATAGTGTGTATACACTGTTTAAATGTACCAATATAAACACATTAAGCTGAAGGGTAGGAAATAAGGTAAACAACATAAAAAAGCCAGGAGACTGAATACAATTACATGAGAAGAATTCTGTCTGCTCCTTTTAAGTCAAATCAATTCATGAGTGGGAAAAAGTGGCACAACATCAAAGCATAAAGTGCTTGTAGAATATAATCATAAAAAATATCAAAGCTCATGTGTTTCAGAAACAGGCCTTTATCAGTATTTAAAGTGTTGACATATGCAATGTATACAGGCCAATCAGGTCAATTACTTGATTAAAAAGGTGTGCAGGAGACCATTCCCTGCCCTTTGTGGTTTCTTAAGAAAGCACACTCCTCAAAAAAGTTCAAAACATCATCAGAACTGAGCTCTGTCATATTTTTCATCATTTAATGAATGGAATCTTGTACGGACAACCCACAAATTACTCACATTTTGCTTTCTAAATGCTTATATTTTTTTTTAGTCCATGCTGGCATTTTTCCACAAACACATGCTCTGCACGATTCTCAGTGTTCACCTCTTCTGATGAATGTGCTGCGTTAGACAACAAAGCCTGGCCTGAAGCATAGGTGTATCGTTTAGTTTATCAGATGAGATCAAACTTAATGGATGGCTGTGGTAAAACTGGATTTCACAGAATTGGATAATGGAAGCTGTAATTTCTGCCCTACCCTCCTCTCACAGTGTGCAGTCTTTGTTTCGCATTTGTCTATGGTTCTTAAGACAATGGCAGTTGAACACAAATGATTAACACTGGTCCCATAAAAATACGTCAGAGAAGATATGCAGTATGCACATATTAGTCCAATATGCAATGATTGTTATTGAGTTAATTTGTTTAAAATTGATAACCTAACCTCATCAATGAAGTGTGATTTAAGAGCAATACCAAATAGTGCTGTGGGAAGTGCACAACAGTGGAGCTCTAGAAAGTCACTAAAATAATTAGTAAAGTTACAGCATCATGTTGTAACATAATCACTGAGGGACCACATCTCCTTTGGCTTTAATGTAGATAAATATTACACAGTGATAAACCATTATCAAGGCCATAAAGGAGAAGATCATAAAATACACACTTCATTACAACTGGTCTTGATTAAATTTCTATATTAGCAGTCAATGTTAAACATCACACGTGCAGGATAAAATATACAAATAAGTATAAGTAAATAAAAATGGTCCTTTACTGCAAACAAATTTAAGTTGAGACGTTTTTCTTGAAGTGAGGAGCTAGAAGCTAACAGAAATAAAGAGATGCTGTGTTTCTGTCAGAACAGACCAGCATGAACAAGATGACCCTCACAAAGAAGGAGCAACATCTACTTTTGAAAATAATCAGTGCAGACATGGTGGGGAGTGAAACATGTGAAGGCTTCCACAAGAGTATGTATAGTGAGTGTTGAACTAATGTTTGTTTGTTTGTATTTTTGAGTGTTTGGCATCACAAGCAAGTCTGAATATTCATTTCATTCCAGTTAAATTGAGCTGCCATCTGGGAAATACACCTGTAGCTAATTTACTCAAGAAATGTAGAAAGTATAATGTCAAAGGGTCTAATGTCAAATAAGCTCTGTTAAGTAGAATTTGACATGAACATTTTCTCATCTAAAAAAATCATACTCGAGAGCATAAACACAATTGCACATGCATGACCACAAAGCCATGGCTTGACTGTTAAATTAAGACCATGTCCTAAAAAAAACTACCTTAAAATAGCCGAGGGTGACTGCCTACAAGCCTGAAGTAAACACACATGCTAAGAAACAATCTGCACAAGCAGAAGAGCAACCGAAAATAAGATTAACCAAAAAATGAAAAGACAGCAAAAGTGTTGCATCAAGTAAAAGAAAAATTGGTTCCATATCTAGTGACATACCTGCAAGCTCATTTGCTGCTCATAAACCCCCCTTGCTCTGCTGTGAGCCACAGCTTACTGGTGTTGCAAATGTGAGTTTACCCTCCAGTAGTTCCATAGCGGTGGTAGCGATAGCAGTAGAGGGGCAGGACAGCACCATAGCAGAGCTCCTTAGAAGGGCTGTCGGGCCACGGTACCGCCGCACATATTCCAGGAAAGTGTGTCATCAGGCCGCTTAAGCCGCCCAAAGAATTGTCCATCTCACATGCACACACTAATCTATGCAGGGTCACTCAAGGTAATCCCTGCCGTGCACTCCTCTTTGATTGGCACTCACAGCAGCACAGTGAGTTTTTTGGACCTGTCAGATGGCTGGGCTGTACCAAACTCAACATTTCAGAGAGGGGTGACTTTTTCTCTCTTGCTCTCTCTCTGTCTCTCTCTCTCTCAAAGGAACAGAAGAAAGAGGAAATGGAAAAGAAAAAAAACAACAGCACATACTCCACCAGATAAGCTGCCAGCGTCTAGCTGAGGTTTTTTTTCGTTTCACTCGCTCACCCTACATTCCTTTGCTCTTGCTTTTGCTCACTCCGTCTTCTTCCTTCCCTCTCTAATGACTCGCTCTGCTCACTTGAACTGCAGTTGTGAAGTCGCACCAGTAACTCACCACCCCCTGAATTTAACTGTTTCAAATCACAAAGCATTTTTCACATAATCAACGAACACATGATGGTTTAGTGACGACAAAGAAACTGAACTTAATCATTAAATGACATTGTATTTTATGTTTAACAATCACACAAAATTTGTGCAAGTGTAAAAAAAAATATTGTAGGGGCCAAATTTAGATGTTACAAAACATGACATGTTAAGGACTGCACAACAGATGCTGAACTGGATCTTACTTGGACACTGACAACTTGGTATTTATCAGTGTTTAACATTCACGTTATTCCACTGTGAAGAGAAAGAAACAGACAATGTTTTCTCTTAAATTTAGAAAAAGGAACCTGCAATTGACCCACTGCTTGAAACAACCATGAACTCCAAAAACACATGGAGATAGTCTTCAAGAAGCTGCTATTAACACAAAACAAGTCATCTCTCAACTGCTGACATGTTCACACATGAATGGCACAAGATTAAAAGATTAAGTCTGGGTAAGTCGTCCATGAAGAAACTGTGCCTGTCACTTGGAAAAATCTGAAGAACCATCTATCTGTTGAAGATATATTCATGAATCATTGTGCTCTCCACCTCCTCCAATGTAAAGAAACAATCAACAACCAACCCATTGTGTTCTGCAGTAAATGTACTTGGCGCAGGGACAGAATGTCCAGTACGGAGACCGTGGCATCAGTGAAGCAAGGAGAAGACGTCCACCAGAATGAGTGAAAACAATGTTTAATGTCACCCAACAGACTTGGGAGATGGTGCATCTATTAGTACTGGATTTCGATGCCAAGACAACAATAACACAAAGTTCTGATGATCAATAATATATCTTCATAGTATTCACTTTGTACTTGCACACACATTTAAGGAAGAGGCAACTTCATTTTGTGACAAAGCAGTAGCAGACACAGCAATAGGATGAAGCAGACAAAACATATTGGCTGTTATCGATTTAGTGAAACTGGTCATTTCAGTTATACACTCCTTTATGCTTTTTTTTTTTTTTTTTTTTGTCAATCTAAGCCCCAGAGTGTGCATTCTGCTTCCTGTTCCACTAACTTTGGCCCAATATTAGCGCCGGTAACAAGGCAAAATGCTTACCAATCAACATTATAGATAGGTGTGGTGCTGGTGTCATATGTGTAGTAGATGTACAGTATATCTATGACTAACTAAATGCGCGTGTGGCAAGAGTCTGAAAAACGCAATGCTGCAAACTCAGCAGCTACCTGAGTGACAAAGTTGTTTCCAATGCAAACTCTGTAAATTGTGTTCTCGTAAGCTTGTTCAGATCTTAAATGTTACACACGGTTGCATCTTTATGTAAGCCCAAATTTAACTAACTGCTTTGTTATCTTTAATATTTTATTGCTGTTATATTCACCAGATGGTGCATTTGATTAAGATATATGCTCAGGATAAAAACAACTCAGGCTTACCTGGTTCCTTCCTCTCCGTCTTCCATAATTTCGCCTCACCAGCGTCTTGTAGTTGTGGTTCTTCTTGGTTAAGTAGTAATATAGGACACAGTCGGCAACACACTGAAACAAGAAATAGCAACATATTCACTCATTTGCTTGTTTCATGTGTTTAGATGAAAAAAGTTTGTATGTATTACAGCTGTTCCGTAAGATATCACAATCATGTGGCTAGGCAAGTCTTTCTCAATCTGTCTAAAGTGAGTCTTTTAATGATAATACGTGTTAATCATTGTTTAGTTAGCCCAGTTTAACCTGCAGAGGTCTCTGGAGGAAAGTGACAAATGTTCTGCTAGAATGGATGATGAGTTAAAAAAGAACAGTGTGAAAGATGTTAAATGCAAAAGAAAATGATTATGCAAGGAGTGAGAGTGGATTGAACTCACTACAATAACTCTGTAGATTAATGTTTTAACTAGTAAGTTAGCCATGGATGTCTTACTGAACATAAAGCAGTCAAACACTTTAACACTGGCAGATATTTACATAGTGACGAAAAAATGTAAATCCTGTTTTACCCATATAGTTATTGCGTATGGTATATCACGCAGTGTGATGAATCACAAAATGAGGAAGATTACTCACTGCATCAGTGAGCATAAGTTTGTTTCACTTTTCTTCTAGCTAAGATATGTGTAATGCGGGAAGCAGCAGTCTGCGTTATGTTTTCATATGAAAATAGAAGCAGGAGTTTACCTTTCTCTCTAGATAGGAGGCAATCAGGCCAAAGTTCTTGGGGTGTTGGACAAACCTACAAAGAGCAGACAGCTGTTACTCATGTGCCAAAGCCAAAAATAAATTGGTTCATAAATATTTCTGCATAACATATTCACACAGTCAAACTGTGACCTGGCCATGTTGTATCATCCACTAAACAAAAACAACTTACTTCTCCTTAAATATCTCCTTTTCATGTTCTGTCCAAACATTCATGAACTGCCGGGCTTTGTACACCTTCATTGGGTCATCCATCAGTCCATTCATGTTGATGAACTTGACTCGCCTCTGCTCAGAGTCGTACATCATGGGAGGGATGACTGACATCTGTCTCATCTGTTTCTCATTGTTCTTTGAAACAGAAAAGTGAACATAGTAACTCCAGAGCAGTTGCACACAAAAAACATTTTTCTACTTGAAAATCTGCTCCTAGGTTTTTTTGACAGATTATAACAAAGACAGTTGGGATCATTAGAATGTGGATGGTGATATGAACCTTTTAATTCACCTCTGTACCTTCACAATGGAACGCAATATGTGGGTTGAGCAACATTTTTCAAAAGGAACTACAGTATGTACCCACCTCCTGCTCAGAAAGGCCATCTATGATTTCAGAAATCTCATGCTCGCTCCTTGCAATTGTTGCAGAAAGGCCCGTCCCTCTTTGTCCAACCCTGTAGAAAAAAGGAAAATATTGCATAATAACTGTTAAAATGTTACATCTCTATTTAAACTTTGGCATTAGTTGTATATGCTGTGCAATGTGAACATCGTTTATAATATCAGTTCCATCCTTTTCAAAGAAAATAACATTTACAAGCTTGCATGACTGCTTCAGAGTTGTTTCCTTTCCGATCAATACCAAGTGAAACATTTAATGTGAGCAACTGGAGAAGTTGTGGAACTCTAAACAAACAGAATCGCTGTTCCTGTTAATAATGAAATATCTGAAATAACTCTCTACAACTACTTATTTCTTGCTTCCTCCTTCATGGTCTAGGAGTCCACATAAACAGTGCTGGCATGCAGACTTTAACTTGGAGATCAATGTAAGTACAAAACATCAGTGCCTGCAAGATCTTTGTTAGTTATCCATGATAAACTAAATATCTTCAGGTCTTTGGTGGGCAGTTTCAATGTGAACCTGGGCATTTATTCAAATTTAAATTTCATGACAAGTTACAGATCAATGATTCTGAAAAATAACCAGTTAATAAAAATAAATTGATAAAAAAAGTAGTTAGTTGCAGCCATGTCAATTTTCAGACACTGTCTGGAGTTGCCTTTACACATATGCAGCACACAACATTAGAGCAATGTCGAGAAAATTGCAGGGTTGCAGAGCAGGTCTTAAAGCTGCTCTATAAAACACAAACGGCCTCTCGCAAGCGAAAAACCGATACACACTAATAAGTTGAGAAGGAAGATCCTACAGAAAAAATTGCATCAGTGTGATAGTGAGTAAAGATCCAATCATGGCCAATCTGTGCTGCAAATAAAGTATGTCACTGTGCTGACTGGTTAATGATGTTACCTCTGGAAGCGCTCCTGCTGCTCTCTCTGCTTGCGGATCTCCGGGAATTGTCTTTCATAGTACTCCCGTGTTCGGCCCTCCTTGGCTTTGCGTCTGGGGTTGTTCTCCATTCGATCCACCTTCTTCTCCCAAGCCTCCATCAGCTGGTCATAGCGCTGACAGATCTTCTGTTCCTGTGTGAACAGCATGAAAAATGCCCAAGTGTATCAGGAGTAGGCACCCATCACAACACCAGAGGTCTAATGTTATTTCCAATGCAGTGATTAAGTAATGTTTATTAATTATCGTACCTTTCAAAGATAAAAGCAAATAGGCTTTACATGAGAATAACACCATAAAATTTGTAATAAACAAATATATGCAATAGGAAAACAATGAAAAAACATGTGGCCGAAGGACAATAAAAATGAATAGCATCAAACACTACAATGTACAAACTGAGACAATGACCGGTTAGAATATTTGGGTTTTTGGCTGAATTTTAGGTTAAGGGTACTGATATTGTCAAATCCCTGAATTAAAATCTGACAATTACAATGAATTATAAAACTACTTAAAAGTGTATCTTATGGTGCTGTTATTTTACTTCAAGGTAGGTGATCAAAAATAAGGGCAATTCTGTTTTTTTTAACTAGCACTTTTTCATATAGTGTCCTAAAAAGGTACAACTGATGGCAATGAGCACGATTTATATACAACTGAAAGTATAAGAAATTCTGACTCAGTAATGGACAGAGTTCAGTTTGCTGAAGGTGTAGTTGATGTAGTGTTTTGCTTGGTCATCCCATGTTACTGAAAAGAAGAAGCAACATTGATGCAAATAATAGAATCCAAAACAGTAATAAAACCAAACCATCAGGTTAATTATCACATTTCTCTTTCCAATGGGCTGTGTAGGTGAACATGCATTTAGTGCAGCGTTTAACTTAGATACACCTGTCAGAGCAATCAGCATTACGGTTTATCTTAGAAAGGGAATGTGAGAACGTAAGTAAACAACTACAGACAGGCTGCAGAAACTTGGGAGTGAGTGCAGAGGTGTCCAGAGTGCACATGCTGATCAGGGACTGACTGTGATGTTTGTGGGTTTGTGTCTGTCTTTAAAAAAATCTCCTAATTCAGTGTCCTAACAGCAGCACAGTTTGTTCTAATGCAACTATTCTGTTTACAAATAGTTTACAAAAGCTCATTGTCATTTTGTTAAACATGCTTACTTTTTGGCATCATACAGCTCTGGAAAAAATTTAAAGGATCCCACAAAGAGTACATTTTTGTTTTAGTCAGTCAAACTACTGACAGAATTTCTCCAACAATTCAAGATAAAAATTACTGTCACTTTGTGGATATGTTTGCAGAACTGGTCAGTCCTTGAAGTTGAGGAACATTGTTAGAACAGAAGGATCAAAGCCAGTTTTATAACAAGTTTTTCTTTTGGTTGTGGCTTGATTCATGCAACCCCAAAAAATACTGCCTGGCTCCAACCTTGTTGAAGTAATGTTCCTACATCAAATCAACTAGTGGGTGTGAGGCACTGCAGCTGACATATGAAAAACGTAGCACAAGATTCTTCAGTCAGATGCATTCACAACAACACAGAAACTGTTGAGGCTTTCAAGTGCACAGCATGCAGAAGACAGGACATGACAAATACATTTTTAATTACAACAACCCTGGCATCGACCCTTATCACTAAAACCTCTCCAATATCTGTCCTTCCAAGCTGACATCTTTGTATATTTATGACACCTCTTTTTCATTCAGAGATATGAATTTCCTTTTTGAGCTCAGTGCATGTCTGAAAGCATCTCAGGTCTCGAACCTCTAGGAGCCTGTTTCTTACTGTCCTTGCTGTGAACTTCAAACCATCTGCTGTTTGTTATTCTTTCTGTACAGTCCCACAGTTGCAGAGTTCCATTTTAATAAGTGGTGGGTCAACCCCTGTCAGTGGAGAGTCATTTTCACCCTCTACCTGCCTGTAGTTATGTCCTCAATGTCTGCGGCTTGATCTTGTTCTGTTCTGATGGACTGCCAACGTTTTTCCAGCATAGTTAATAGTTTTTTTGAAGTTGAAGTATGTTAAAGTTCAACAGAATGAAAATGAATGAGTGCCATACATGTAGAGATAATAATATAGCTGTACACGTAAACACTGTTTCTGTATAAAAAAAATAAAATAAAAGTTGACTCATTTCCAGAAGTGAAAGAGTTAAAATGTTCAGAGAAATTTTGGAAAGACGTCTGTACTGGGAGGACAATACACCCTCGTTTCCACTCTCTGCAGCAACGGAAAAACAATTCACCTTCCTCTTGGCACAAGGCCATGTGCACTCTGCCATTGTTCAGAGTCCAAAAATGTCTTTCTGTCCCTGACAGCGAACAGCCAGACAAAGGTGGGACCCACCGAGTCATTGCAATACAAAAAAGGCCAAGTGTTTCAACATGGGTACTTTGGAAATATTTACCGGTTACAGATAAGAAGGACAGAGAGACAATCGTTTGAACAATGTAATGGTCAAATCTGTTCTTTGATGTGACAATATTTGTTATTCTACTGCATATGAAAGCAGTTACTAGCTCACAGAATACTGTCAAACAAACAGGGAAAACCTATGAGTTTCCCATGACTCACCATAACTAATGCATTGCAATGATGGTCAATTGGTCTACTACTTTAGTTAATAACTAAAATAACTACTGGATTGATTTCCATGAACTTTTGTAGACATTCAGGGTTTACAGCCCATTGACTTGTTTTATATTTCCAACTTTTCCTCTAGCACCACCATGAGGTTGACTTTTGAGGTTTTAAGTGAAAACAACTTACTATCAACAGGCCCACACTTTAATTAGATCAATTACTTGGATTTATTGCCTTATACCTGTAAGTAATGTAATGTCACTATGATGGTGTTAGCATGAACAGAATCACAGAGCTTGAAAATGGCTATAGACCCTTGGTCTGGTACAATTATTGGTTTTATTGTAGCCCAATATTTCAAAATTTTCCATTACATGCAAACAAAAGGTCATTATTAGATGTTGCAAAAACTCAAAAAAAAACAGCATTAAATATTCATTGAACTCTACTATTTAACATTCTGCCTAAGAATATGGACCATAAAAGAAGAGTGCAAAGTATTGATGGGGACACTTACCCTTTGTTTACGAGCATGATTTCTCCGCTTAAAAAACAAAATCAGCTTCTTCCTCATGACTTGGTTGCTGAAATACAACAAAAACAAAAATATTTGTAGAAATTATAAATTACCCTAAATGACACATACAAAAATAGTGTAGAAGAAGAGACCTCTTATTCCACGAGAAAAGATCCAGTGAGTATGAAGCTAATAAAAAAGATTCTTAAACGGGATAGAACTTGATTTATTTCACCTCTGGCTAAAACAAATTGTACATATCATTGTTTTTTATGCAATGTGGAAAATACAAAACACTTGTGCAACATGTTTTCTCATAATGGGGGCTGTGGGGGAAAACAGTGTGAGAGCTGACCCTGAGAGTGTGGCCAATACAGCGGAATTAGACAGAGGTGCTGTCTGTCTTGATAAAACACCGAGCTAGATGGGTCGCTCCCATAGCACACACTGATAAGGGTTTTATCCTAGACGACATGACCTTGAGCCCCCAACACAACCCTTTAATCGTAACTAATGCAGACGCTTGTACATTCTTTTCACTTTCTTCTTTCAAATCACTCTCTCTGATGTCAGTAGTGCAACTAAATCAAGTGACTAAGCAATCAGATTGGACAGAACAATCAGCTGGGTTTATCTTGTTGAGGTCAGCGTTACCTCCAACACTTTGCTCACATGAGACAGTTTCTAAACTATAGGTTTACAAGCCGACAGATGTTCATGTAAATTAATCTGTAGAAAAAATACAGGTACTTACGTCTTGATGTTGTCATGGTACACCTTTGTGTCTGATGGCTGATTGTACAGGGGCTAAGAAAAGAAAAAGCAGACCAGGAGAAGGTGATGGATTAATCCTTAGATATTAAAATAAGCACTAATATTATCCAAAATGTTACTGAACCAAGGAGCTAGGGAAAGAAAAAAGTAAAATAATTATCAGAATAAGCACATACCAGCTCAACTTTGGGACCAAGACCTTCCAAAATTTTATGGGCTTCTTCAGCTTTTTTCTAAAAAAATTGAAAAAAGTTGAAAACATATTTACAAGACATACCAAAAGCAAAGTGAAAGTGCAATCTGAGCACTTTGGAAAACAAAACATTGTCACCTTAGATCATCATATCTGAAGTTTTGTGTCATCTGCGTTACTATTGATCTTTAGATACTTTTTGTATTCATAGCACAGTTTTAATGGCTAGAGGACAACAGCAAAGAGCTACAAGAAAAACCTCATGTGGAAGCTAATGCGGCCATTAGGGTTGGGTACTGTTAACATTTGTACTGGTCCTGAAACCTCGAATTTGTTACCGCCTCACAACAAAATTACAGTACATTGGAAACCACTTATAGTGATCACGTGTGTCCCAGGCCAAATTCATCACTATAAGCGATTGCTTACTATAGAAAAAATTGGGTAGCATATTATATAATGTATTCTACAGAAAGAGACAAACAACCCTGGCTGCCGGACTACATTTCCTGAGTGCACTGACTTGGAGCAGGGGCCTACAGGGTTAATGGCTAACTGAGAAGGAAGGTGTGTCTCCGCAGTCCCAAACTGCAACACTGTCAGACATACATGAACTACAGTGACCTCTGTATGGATGCAATCTCACCCCTTACTGTTCTGTGTTACACAGGTGATGACTTGACATTTTGTAGAATGTATCACTGGGCTGCAAATAACAATTGTTGTCAAAAGCAACTAATCTGACCTTTAATTATTTTCTTGAATAATCCATTAATTGCTGGGTTTAAAAATACCTAAAACCCCAACTCAGTTCATTTTATATGAAGTAAGATAATAAAAGACTAGCAAAAAATGCCCTTTAAGAACCTGACATCGCTAAATGTTTGACATTTTGCTTCAGAAATGTCAGATGATTCATTGATTATGAATTTCTTCTTTTGTCTGATAGTCGCTGCTGCGCTATTGCCATCTTAACAAATTAAAACTTCAAAACAGCAACAATGCAAAAACCACAACAATCACATTCCAACAACAGACTCACAATATTATTTCAAAAAATTTAAATAGTTATGCAAAATACCATGAGCAACAATGACCAGTCAAGCAAATTCCTGTCGTGTAAATAATTTTTCCTGACTTAAGACGAGCACTGCTCAAGTGCATTCCACTAACTCGTTTGCCAGTGAAATGTTCAGTTTGCATCAGCAGTAATTTGACACAGCTCGGGTATGGCTAAAAGCAATCTGCATACAATGAAGTAAAGCATATTTGAAAGTACAAGGCTTGCACTTTGGAGTGAAACTATACTCCAAATCACAAAGAATCATTTGGAAGCTACAAAGGTAATGAGAGCTGAAGACAATAAGGCTTAGAGAAACATGTTCGGCCATCCCTTTGTAAGATGACTTGTTTTTAGGGAGGGACTGTCACTGGTTGGCCATGGTCACCATGGCTATACTATGCTATGAGAACACAGCAGAAACACATGTTCTCGCTTCGAGGCACAATTTAAGGGGGATTAATCAGGCCAATGGAAAAACAAAAGGCTGTAGATAGAGAGATAATAGCAAACAAAATAGCTGTTCTCCAGAGTTTAAACAACATGAAAGGAGATACTGATGAGAACTGATACTGGTTGTTGTTGTTGTGTGTTGGTGTTTGCAGCAGACAACTAACCCTGTTCTCATCGTAGATGATTTGGACTATGCTGCGGTGCTTGTGCTCCACTGGGGGAGGGGTCACTGGCTTTTCTGGCTCCATTGGCTTTGCTGCTTCCTCCTCCAGTTGTTGCTAAGAGACAACACCAATACGCAACAATGTGAAAAATAGAACACAACAATAAACGCACAAAATACACACAAATATCAGATGCCTCTTTTCTTCCTCACACTTTTTATGTTTTTGTCTGTATTGGTTTTCACACACAGCAAATGGTGGAAAACAAAGATACATCTACACAGCGTTGACCTGATCATAGCTTCTGATGTTATCAGATGATTCTAATTTTTTATTTTTTTTTTTAAACACAACTGTTTTCTTGAGGCACTGCTGAAACTGACAGACAAGCTGAACAAGTGTCTGGTAAATCAATGTTTAACGTTAAAGGTTATATAAACTATCAGGTTACAGGGACAAGATTAGGAGTTCCTGAAAAACCTCAAATAAACAAATAAATCCCTGAGAGAAAGAAAAACTGAGAGGTATCCCCTACCAACAAAGCTGAGTTTACTGTCCTATCTAATGAGACAAAGATGGCCATAAACAAGATTAAAAGCAAACTAATTCAGAGAGGAAGATTTTTGAGAGCACAATATTAGGGGAAATATACAGTCTATTGCGGGAACAAGCAGACAAACATACAGACTGACAAAGCAACTTAGGTCTCTGTGTGCTGATTAAACACCTCACTGAGAATACAAGCTAGCCTCTGGATTACCAGCAATTTCCCAATAAATACTGGGTGCAGCTTGTTAACATTAGCTCCTCTTACACAGCCTGTTCAAGGCATGAAATTTGCACCTTTATTCCATCTCTCCATACTGTATAAAACAGCTTGATAGAATGAGAGTGCATTGTTGTTCCACTTTTATGTGGTTCTCACAGAGCCAGAATGTCTGTGTTAAAGGGAGCGTCAGCATGACGGAGCAGGGTGCAGACGCTGTTATTTTACACATCACACCTCTGACTGTGGAATGCTAGCACCCTATCTAAAAATCACACATGGAGGCAGCAATATGCTGGCTTGTATGGTTATGTGTAAAAGAAACATAACAAGGAGTCTACTTCATGGCAATATAGTGAGATCTCTGTATAGAAAAGACTATCAACACCAGGATTCCCAAGGAGGGAATATTTATCGTTCAAATTGTGAGCTAATATTACACTACACTTAATGTTTCAACTCAACGTGATGTTTCTCTTCTGATACATCACTGTACAAACAACCTTAGTCTGTTGTGACTCTTCTGTGGCTTGATTTAGGCCAGTCTCATAGATTTCTATCAAAATTGTGGCTGGATGGATCTGACATGTAAACAAAGCACCGTCAAACTAGCCTTTTTTGATTATATTTACAGCTTCCATCATTGTGGTTTATAATAACACACATTTTTATAAAGGGCAATAAGTGATTTACGTTTCTCCTCATTGCTGTTTTAAAATCACCTCAGTGTTTCATGGGTTACTGCTTAATTTAAAAGCTGTTAATTGTGCACAACACCCATTTAGTTTGAAGCATTTTCAGATAAAAAACATCTCACTGACTAACCAACCTGCTTTTTCTTCAGCTTGAAAATCTGCTGCTCCACTTTAGCAATCTCCCTGTCCACACGGTCCATACTCTGGATCAGCTCCTCTTTGGATAGTTTGGAAGGAGAATTGTCTTGATCTTCCCCCATGTGTAGTGTATGTCCTCCCTGGGATGGGGACTCCACTTTGACAGTGAACTGAGATTCCTGGCAAAAACAAAAATGTTTAGCGAGTTATTGAGAATCCTTCAGTCATATTGTAGAAACTTCAAAAAGCAGCAACTGAGATATCTGTTTATGATAGTAAATACAAACATACACTGACATTACACATCTGAGAATTATGTCAGCAAATGCAGCTACCGATATATATATATATATATATACACATATACACATATATATATATATATATATATACACACACATAGACTCCCAAAAATCCATATTGGTCGGGCTCTACTGTTAATATCCCAGTAAATTATGTTATTCAACATAATTTAACATCAATAGTGAAAAAAAATAAAAGTGACCATCTCAGATCATCTATGTCAGGTAATAAATACAACTGAGGTCAACTGTGTGGTTACCTTTTTGACTTCCACAGTGGCTCTGAGGCTGTCGTGTAGTGTATGAGGCATGGGCAGGACAATACCCCCAGCAGTGGAAGGGGTTCGGTTAAGGTGAGCCTCAGCAAGAGTCTCCATGCGAGGGCGTTTAGACTCCAATGCCTCATGATCAGCCTGGGCTGTGATGGAATGAAACTGCTGTTCGTAACCATGGCGTCTCTCTGGAGGCCTGAAGAACAGAATAAACAGGAAGTTTACAGATGTATCTGAAGCTACATCTGGTCCATCTCATTGTATGATTCCCACACTGTATGCTAGGGATATCTATGGCATCCTTGAGTGAGTGAAGGTGGAAAAACTACTATACGAACAGACAATAATATTAAGATTAAGGTAAGATTTTTCAAATCCGATGGGATTTATAAGCATGTACTTAACATGTGTAAGATATTTAGGCAACAGGCAATATTTGAAGTGAAGCCCTGACCTTTCAGTTCCAGGGTGGAATTCAGAGAGTAAAGATGGTCTTCTCCGACCCTGTGGATCCTGCATGTGAGTCCGATAGTCTGGGATGGTGAAATCCTGAGGGTAAGAGGAACACAACACAAACAACTGTATAAAGTAATCTGAACAACATCATGATGCCTGCAAACAACATTAAAAAAAATTCACAGGTGAAGACACTAAATCATGCTCATGGAGCGGCAAACTCCTGTCTGCACCGGGCAAGATTAAACTGCCGTTTTCAATGTCTGTCTCTGTGAGATGCAACAGATGCGCATCAGTTTTTACTGTCTGTCCCATTTTGTGCAACTACAGAGATTGTGTGTGGATTGAGAGAACTGTTGAATGCTGTCTAAGGGGTTTAAGAAAGGACTATTTTAAGTGAGGGCAGGCACCTTTGTTGCATTCACTTCCTGGAAGCTTTCTGTTGTACAAACTAATAAGAGGCAGGATGGAAGATGGACCAATCAGGACATGGCATGGGAACAACAAATAATCAAAGCATCTTGAGAGAATGCAGCTGTTGGGGTTCCAAAATGACAACCTAACTGGACCAGTGAATCCAACAGAGGAAGGTAAAGTGTAGTGGCAGCAAAGAGATGCAAGCTTGTGCTGCAGAAACAGACAAGAAGGAATCAGAGCCAAGTGAAGAACTATAGTTCTACTAATCCTTCAAGCTAGTAAATAGGTGACACCTTTGGTGGAAGTCATGGAGAGAGGCAAGGATGAGGAAAAGGAGGGCTTGAACAAGTGGAACCATTTCAAAGTAAGACTCACACATTCCTGTGCAGGCTAAAAAGGGTCAGAAAAGACAAAAGATGCAGGGAGAAAGCATGGGCTTCTTCTGGGACCCTTTCAAGTATGCAAATGAGAATGAGGGAGAAAACAGCCAAGTTGCTGCAAACCACTCAGCAGGATCTACACCCTGAAGATCCCACTGAAATATATTAGTTTAGGCTAATGATGGCTCATGTTTGACCTGAGAGATTCTGCTGACCTGTTTATCCAATACACCAAGGCCCTGGTTTGCACAAGACGCACATGGAACACCATAAATTGACTGAAACACCAGGAGAATGTTGGATTGCTGCAGCCAGGCAGGGATGGTTGTGAATGAGGAACAGAACCTAATATGTGATAAAAAAGCCACCAAGAAGGAAACACATTCAGTGGAGTTATATGCAGCCAAATAACCGAATTTCTGATCGTATAAGACAGAGTTTGGACTTTTGCATGTCAACACCTTAGTCCGATCTACATCGGTTAAAAAAAGGCCTTAACAGACAAATCGGATAAGAACACCTAGAAAAGTTGTTCATTGTCGGCATTCTAACACCATGTATACTCAGCCATCGTATCTAAATCAAATTTTGCAATTTGCGCATGCTCGACAATTTCCGCCGGGGATCTCACCCGGAAGTCGAAGGAGACTGCTCTTGTAATAAATAGTAGTGTTGTTGCCAGAATAGGTCAAACAACACCATGGCTTCGATGAAATCAACAACTCACTTCTGGACGGACGAGGAGACCCGATAGAAATGTTGCCAGATAGTTTGTTGTTGCTGTGACCTATAGGTCAACCGGAAGTGACTCTATAACCACTTGTTGAAAGGGCTACAACGCCACATAGCATAGCGGCCATTTATTCGATTCTCTGAACGGCATGTATACTCAGACAAGTGACAGCAATCCCTTCAGTGACAAAATCGGTATATGGCTTAATCGTATCAAGCTATCCCATGAATACGTACTGATTGTTGCTGTCTGTGGAGATTCAGAGCTATGGAGGACACCCCAAGCAAAGCTGACGTTCCTTATCAGGGCCGTGAGTGATACTGTAACCATTCTCTGGACCTTGCACATTTGTGGTATGGCTCAGAGGAGACTTGTCGACTCTGTGACCCCCAGAACCTGAGTTTGTAGATAATCCTTTCTGGTTGCAAGGCAGCACTGCTGCAGGCCCAGTACTAGAGATGTTACAATACCAAACATTTTATAGTCGATATCGGTACCATGAAATGTCCACAATTCTCGATACCATGGCAAAAAACAAAGTAAAACATCCCATTTCCTTCAACAAACTCACTAAAACAACAGTGTCAATGCAGCCTTCAAATAATACATAAAACGTATAACATTAACATAAAACAGAATGCTGGTATGTAGGAAAATTATGAGATTTCAGTTATCAGGCATAACTCAATGACTGTAAGAAAACAGCAGAGGCTGCACAGTGCACACACACACACACACACACACACACACACACACACAC